AAGTTTTGACTCAATTGTAATTCAATTCCATACTTTAATAATTATACAACTCGATCCTTATATATTTTTAATATTTAAATATTACTCCTTGTATCTTAAAAAATAAATTACAAGATTAAAATTATGTTAAACCTTTATTATTATTATTTTAAATTACTTAAATTAAAATTTTAAAATATTATTAATCTTTGTAATTTTATTTTTTAAATATAAAGACCAATATTTAAATGTTTGAAACTATATAGACTTATTTATAAGAGGCAAAGTTTAAAAATTGAATTATAACAAATTAAAATTTAGGGATTGAATTATAACAAAGTCAAAACTACAAGAATCAAGTAATTAATTTTTTAAAAAAGAAAAAAGAGTAGTCATACTCTATTAGGAACTTATTACAAGATTTCTCCCGTAAAAAATTGATGGTCCTTATCATAAGAGATCAAATGAGTTATTAATTAATTTTTTAAAACTATATAATTTTAGAGTTTGATGCAGTTTTTTCTTTTTATTTTTTCTACTACTTTCTTTCACATTCAATTTTTAGTATATGGTTTTGGGTTGTAAAGTGGGAGTCTTATAAAAATTATACAGTAATTATTTGTATGCCTGTACACGTTTTTAGCAATTAGTTATTAACAATATCTGTACTCTTTTTTTTTTTTAAATTGTCTGGTCAAAATTAGAGTATTTGTTATAATACATTCATGGTATCTTAAAATTCAGAGGATTCATTCTATCCCCTTTCATGAATCAATGTTATTAATGTATGAACATTACATGGGTCAGATACACTTGGATTCATTAACCTTGGAGAATGTACATCGCAATGCTAATGCTGAAGCAATGTAACTAAAAAGATGTCTACCTCAATACTCTTGTACACACATAAACATCCCTCTTGAATTTTTATTATATGGTACATTTAAAAAATATTAATTATTAATATAAGATATATAAATAATTATTATTGTTTTTTAATTTCACTTTATTATAAATTTAATTTTATGATCCATCATTATATACCGTGTATTTATCTCCTTATTTTTTTTATAGAAGTAATAAAAATCAATTTAATATATGTATAATAATAGTTAATTATTATTGCTTAGTTCCAATGACATAATTAAAAACATCTTATAATAAATATTGAAAAGAGTATGAAATAAATAATGGAAAGACTTTTTTCTTATCTTCCACGTCAAAATCTTATCTTGCTCTCACTTTATTTTTCTCATTTTCTCTACATTTTATATTAGATTAAATTCAAGCTATTAGATTAAATTTGATAATTTATATTTAATAGATTTTAAAATTACATGTTATTTTATAGTTAAAATTTATAAAAAATGATAATAAAATCCTTCGAATGATGTAAATGACAATATGATCTTCCAAAATATCATAATTTTAATGAAGTCTCCTAGAATTTTTTTGTAATAAATTTTAAATTAGAAAGATTATTTTACCCTTATCGATAATTTTAATTTCTTGTTTAATTCTTATAATTTTTTGAAAAAAATTTTATTCTTCAAACAAAAGTTGTGAATGAGATTTATTATTTTAAAAACTTATTTTTTCAAAATAAAAATTATACTGTTAAATTGTAATTTTTTGTTCAATTATTGTGAATTATAGAACAAAAATTTTTATTTTTTAAGAAAAAAATTGTGATTGCTGTTTGTTTTTTAATAATTGAAATTACAATTGATGTGAATTCTTATTCAATTTTCATGACATACAGAATAAAAATTATAACTAAAATTTATTATTTTCAATGAGGGTAAAATTATCTTCTCACTAAAATATTATTAACAAAGAATTTTTTAAGAACTTTATTAAATTTAAAAGATTAAATTATCATTTATATAATTTTAAAAATTTATTATTATTTTTTTAAATTTAATGTGAGCGATTCATATATTCAGGGAAGGCACAATGGAGGGAGAACATAATGGGTAGAAAGCAAGTGATTTGGGCCCTTCATTGTTTCTCAAATCATATGTGCCGTTGACTTAAAAGTATTTTAAAATATTTTTTATATTAAATTTATTAAAATAAAATTATAAAAAAATTATAATATTAAATATGAACTACTCAAAGTATATTTAGATAATTATTTAATTAAAATATAAAATTTTTAATATTAAATTAAACCTTTCAATTTTATATTATATTATTCAAAGTATATTTAGATAGTTAATTTATAAAATTATTAAAAAATAACATTAAATTAAATTATCTAAATTAAATCTGTACTGATCAAATTAGTGACAAATAAATTTATTAAAGATTTTTTATGTTTTTTACATATTTTTTATTTTAATAAATATAAAATAAAAGTAAAAGCTTAAATTTGGACTATCTAGATTTTATCAAGGTGATGAGTATTACAATATTTATTTTCTAATTATATAAAAAACAGTTCATATTTAATATTATAATTTTTATATATTTTATTTTTATAAATATAATATTAAAATATTTAAAAAATAATTTTAAATCAACAGTAAAAATCCTTTGAAGATAAATAAAAGGCACAGATCACCTCACAAGAGTGATGAGGGCATGGTGCTCATCAAAATTGATAGACACTGACTGTGTTTCCAAAAATCAAGTTTGCCAGGTTGTTTATACTTTTATAAGCTGGATAACAATTGTTTATTCTCACCATTTTATTTATATGTCACTTTTTAACATATTTTGTTGGAATTGAGAAAAAATATTAAATTTTATTAATTATGTTTAAAAATTCAATAAACTTCTAACCTCCCTGCTATTAAATAAACATATTTTATAAATAAAATACTCTAATGTTTAATAACTTCATCAACAATGGGTAGGGACAAAAGGATAAATATAAATATAAAAATTATAAAAATGTTTTATAAAAAAATAAAAAAATAAATCATATGTGCAATATTTAATATAGATATTGATATTTATGTATTTAATTTTTATAAGATATATTAATATATTAAATTAAATTATTATTAATGTAAATAATTCATGTCCGTGAGAAAAACATGAAACGTTGACGGAAAAAACGCGATTTCACTTCCACTGCACTTCCTCTAAGCGAACTGGTTCTGGAGCCCTAAAATGCTACAGTACTTCCGATTGCTCTGCCTATACCTGTCCCCTTGGTAGATCATCTTTGGGCATACATCCTCCCTGCTGCCGTCGCAGCGTAATCCGCCCCGCCCCTCCCCTCTTTGTAGTTCTAATCTCACTGTCTCTTACGTGCTTCTCAATTCTTATCATGATCAACACAGGTACCTTTGTAAATCCTGTGCTAACTATGGTTCATTCCCTGCCCAAATCTCACCAGCTTTTGTTCCCCCTACGTTCTGTATTATTGGAGTTTTCTGATGCCATTGTAAAATTCATGTTCTGAACTGTTTATTGGGCTCTATATAATTGTTTGAAGATAACGCAACAATTAAAAATGTTTCCTTTTGGCACCATTGGCTTTCAGATGGGTTCTATCTCGTATTGGGGTCCGTTTTCCTTCCTACATCCATAGACTTCCAGTGGTTGAGATTCTAGCTCCAATTCTGAAGGTCAGCATTGTTGACCGCAGTATGGTTCCCTTTGATTTGCGTTGTGTGCATTCTTCGTACAGTCGACGTCTAGATAATTGTTAACCGTGAGACATTTAGGACGCTAGGACATATCCTGACAGGACCATGTATTCGTACTGTATTAATTAGCTTTATTTTTTTTTTAATCTTTCTCCTGCTGAAACATAAGTCTAGCCCTTTCGTGATTCCTCTACAAAAGATAAGGAGTTCAAGAGCGATTATGGGTTAGACCTGGCTGGGTGTTAGGGTAAATTATATTTACATGCTAATAATTATGATTCATGAGGAATTTTGAAAAGCGCATGGTTAGCTCGTTAGAGTAACGAATTAGTAAAAATTACATATATGGCGCAGATTTATTTACTAGTATGATACTATCATCTGGAGTAATAGAGCATGGAAGTGAAACTTATGTACTATTATCCCTGCTTTTTTCTTTCTGATAAGTTTGACAATGTCTCCAATCATCCTTATATGAATCTCTCATCTTCTGCAGCTACAGCACATTTCTTCCCTTACTTTTTTTGTGGTTATGTTTACATAAAGGTCCATGGAGGGTATAGAACCTGATATAAAAAGCCATCCACCAGAATATGATGTGCAAAATGAAGGTCAAACATCTGGAGCAGCAACTGACACCGGACAGCAGAGTCAAAGCCCCAGGGCTTCTTCAATTGCAGATTGTGACATGGTCTTTGATACTGAGAATGAGCGCGCAAGCCCAAATATTGGTCCTGTTGACCAAACTCATATGGGAAATAATGATGATTGTCTGAATTCAAGCATTTCTTGTGATAACAATTTTCAGATTGATGCTGCAAATGGAAATCTGTCTCAGGAATTCAACATTTCTTCTGTTGATGTGTCAAGTAACAGTAATGTCATAACAGCTGAGGAGGAGCTGTGCATGATACCAAAAATTGGCATGGAGTTTGATTCAGAAGACCATGCTTACAAGTATTATAGCAGGTATGCTGTTTTGAAAGGTTTCAGCATAAGAAAAGATTTTGTCAACAAAAGTAGGGTGAATGGTGCGGTGGTATCTAGAAGATACACTTGCTATAGACAGGGTTATGGGCCTAATAAACATAGTGCCAATGTAAGGAAATCCCATCTGGAAACAAGGACTGGATGCCTGGCGCATATGACTATTGCTCGTCAGCCTAATGGCAAGTTTCATGTCACTCATTTTGAAGCAGGGCACAATCATGAGTTTGCAACACCCTGTACGGCTTATATGTTACCATCACAGAGAAGATTGAGTTTTGCTCAAGCAGTTGAATCTAACTTGTCTAATAATTCTGTGTTGGATGGGGTACCAAAACTTGGAATGGGATTTGACTCAGAAGATCATGCATATGACTTTTATAATACATATGCTGGACGTGTAGGTTTCAGTGTTCGGAAAGATTATGTAAATAGAAGTAAAATTGATGGTGCTGTCGCATCTAGGAGGTTCACATGCTTTCGGGAAGGTTTTCGGCAGAAAGACAAACGTGATATGACTGTGAAGAGGCCTCGAAAAGAGACTAGAATTGGATGTTTAGCACAACTGGTCATTTCTCGTCAGCCTGATGGTAGATATTGTGTAACTCATTTTGAAGAAAAGCATAATCATGAGCTTGTTGCTGCTTGTAGAGTTCACATGTTACGATCACAGAAGAGAATAGCCACAAATCAAGCCATTGAGAGCAACATGCTAGATGGTTCCAAGGTGCATCCTAAGTCTGGACCAAATTGCAAGGCTATTAAAGGTTTAGATGATACGGGTTGTGACCCCATAGAATATGGAAATAAATTGCCTTTCAAGCACACAAGAGAAATGAAAGAGGGAGAAATTGAAAAGCTAAAGCATCACTTTCGAAGCAAGCGATCCAAAAATCCTTCCTTCTTTTATGCCTTCCAACGTGATTCTAGTGATCAAATAACTAATATGTTTTGGGCAGACACAAAGATGGTAGGAGACTACTGTGATTTTGGTGATGTTGTTTGCTTTGATTGTAGTTACAGATTTTGTAGAGACTCCCGCCCATTTGCTCCATTTCTTGGTGTCAATAATCACAAGCAAATGGTTATCTTTGGGGCTGCACTTCTATATGATGAAACAGTTGAATCTTTCAAGTGGCTATTTCAAGTTTTCTTGGAGGCAATGTCCAGGAGACAGCCAAAGACAATTCTTATAGATCAAGATGAAATAATAGCTGAAGCAGTCTCTTCTGTCTTGCTTGAAACCAACTGCCAAATCTGTGCTTGGCATGTGTACCAAAATACACTAAATCAACTCAGTCACCTGTCTGTGGGATCTAATTCTTTTGTTAATGACTTGAGAAGCTGTTTTTTTGATCACGAGGAGGAGGAAGGCTTGGTTAATGCATGGAATGATTTCCTGAACAGGTATAATCTTTGGAAAAATGAATGGTTGTGTCGAATATATGAAAGCAGAGACAATTGGGCCCCAGCATATGGAAGGCAAAATTTCTGTGCTGACATAACAAGTCTGCTGTGGAAAGAAAATCTTATTGGTAGCTTGAAGAAGCACCTAACGAATGATACAGATGTGATCTCATTTCTCAAGCATCTTGGGAAGGTGGTGACTGATTGGCACTATAAGGAATTAGAAGCCAATTATGATATGAGCCTGCGTATGCCAGCACTGATGGGAGATGTGATTCTTTTGAAGCATGCAAGAGATCCATACACACCAAAGATATTTGAATTATTTCAGAAAGAATATGAAACTTGTTTAAATCTAGTGATAAAGCATTGCAGTGAGAGTGGATCATTGTACAAGTATAAAGTTAGCTTATATGAACACGTACGAGAGTATACAGTTACCTTTAATTCATCTAACGAGACTGTCAGTTGCAGCTGTATGAAATTTGAGTCCATGGGAGTCTTATGCAGCCATGCATTGAAAGTCCTTGATTACAGGAATATAAGGATACTTCCATCATTGTACATCTTAAAGAGATGGACAAAAGACGCGAGTTTTTTGAGGCAAACTTGAAAACACCAATAGAAGTGAATGGTGAACATTATCTTCCTAAGGTGATAATCACATGATAGGGCATTATCATTAGTTACAAGGAATCATTTTGTTTGGCTACATTACCTTCAAATGTAAAACGAGCAGCCATGTGACTGGCATGTGTATAGTGTAACATTGTCTCCCTGAATTGGTGATTACGCACGTATCATATGAATAAATCATGCCCTCGATTGTTGATCTTATCAGGGTTCGGAGTTCTTTATGCATTCCCTTGGTTGTGAAGAAGCAGTTTTTTCTTCCCTTACATATTCTTCAAAAGCAAATAATGTCAATTGACGGTTTTTCTTTTTGTCATTTAGAATTGAAATTGGCTTCATGGAAGACGGAACCCTTCATTTTAGATATCTTTTGTATTTTGGCTTGGTCATTATCGTTAGCTTGAGTTTTTGACCAATGAGGTTAGTTCTTACATTTTAAGGGGGAAACGTTAGTTATTGACCCCCCCCCCCCGGGTTTCCTGCCAATGCTAGCCAGACGAGACATGTAAACATTATGAAATGCAGAATGATAAAAACAAACAGAATGAAGTGGTTTTCTATTGGAAGGACCATAGACTTCTATTTTGCATGATCAATGATTTAATATTGGTACGTTAGTACGTTCCACTTCTGCAAGCATCTTTTGCTTTTTAATTCTAGTGATCTAAATTTTATGCCAAGCTCTACGACATTTTCTTGTGATGCCCTGCTCTAGCCGTTGTGTGGATTCTTGGCAATTGCTGTCATATGGGGTTTCATGCTGGATATTAGGCGGTGCATTCTCCTGCGCACTCATCCTGGGATTTGACGTTAGATGATCGTTGGAGCTTCGGCCATTCTTTTCTACATAATTCTTTGTGCCATTGTTTTTCACTGTAGATTTCTGTGGAGTCACAGAGGATTTTCTCCGTACCCTACTGGGAGTAAGTTTTTTCCCTTGTTTGGGTGACTCAGGGTTCGTCAATTGGCACTGCAAAGTGTCAAAATGAAACAGAAATTAACATTCCTGGCTTCATGGGGAACCAATGTTGAACCGTAAGATCTTCGTCAAGGGATGGTAGGGCTTGGCAACAACGGTGCCACTATAAACAGAATCACTCACTAAATTCAAGGTATAAAATTGAGAAAGATACCTTGCTTGCCTCGTTCTTCGATTCTTTCCTTTCCTTGTAAAAATCAGGTAGTGGCCTGGCTTTAAAGCAAAAGCTCTGACGTAGTCTTCTGATTTCTGTTTCTGCTTTCTCCTGCACATAAAGACGATCGAATTTGAATTTTTTTTTAATTGATCCGATGACACTACCGTGAGTTTTCCTCGTGAACCCACCTTTAGCTTTGCATGTAGCTGCACCTTTTGTTCCTCATTGGCGTTGAACTTCTCTTCCAGTTTCTGCATTCCATGAAGATGAATAGTGAATAGACAAGGAAAGAAACACATTTAAGTATATCCCTCAAGTTTGAAAAAACTGGATTACGAGAGAAACAAGGTTTGGAGCGTTGCCTTCTTTCTTCTGGCAGCCCTTTCTTCGGTTCTCAAGCTGAAGGGGGAGGATATAATCGGGGATCTCATCTTGTTCCTGCAAGCATTTAAATTAAAAAATTTAAACAATGATCTAAATCTGAAATTAATAGCAGTAAAATTGAAATCCTTTTAAGACATTATAATTGCTGGTAGAAGAACCTCGGATGCTATTCATTCAATCAGTTCAATTCCACGAGCAAAATTTGAATATTTCATGAAATATTCTTCAAATATCATCTAGCATATGATATATAATGCTGAATTCTGTCTAGAAGACTAGAACCATGGAGCTTTTAAGAGACATAATCTAAGAAGTTAACTTACTCTGTAGAGAGCAAGCGCCATTTGGAGCCAGCTGTATTACTACCCGATGCTAATGAACCGACAGGGGTCTTGGTCCTACAGCGTTACAACATTAACATGAACATCATGACATAATCAGCTACAAAGAAAACAATAGTAAGAAACAGGTTTTCATGGTGGCAATTATCATAAAAAAAATGTATCAGCTACCTTTTCCTTTCTGTCAATGGGGTCACTGAAGAATGCTTTGGCAACTGATTCTTCGAAGCCTGCAGTTGGGCGGCAATTTGAAGTCGATTTGAAAACACAAACTGTATTTGACATAACAAAAGAAGAAACCCAGAAGAATACCTTGGTTGGGGTTCTCAAGGGAGTCGAACTTTCCTTTGAAGCCTTGGAAACTCTTGCACCTTCAAACTTCCTCATGACCGATGCAGTCAATCTATTGAGTTCTCTAATGGGTGTGAAACTAACGGTTGGCCTTTTCTTATCAACCGAGCTAATGAGTGTGAATTTGACGGTTGATCTCTTCTTGTCAACCGAGCCAATGGGTGTGACATTAACGGTTGGTTTCTTTTTATCGACCGAGCCTAATGCTGGCTTGTTGCTTCTCACTGGGGTACCCATAATGTTTTCGTTTTTCTGAGAAACAGGTTTGGCAGGTGTCGAGCTGAACTTGGAAGTTTCAGTGGACTCGAACGACTTCAGGGAAAAGGCTGGCGGTTTTTTGGTGCTCATCGGTGCCAAAACTTCATCTTCATAATCAGCACTGTGCTGCAATAAACAACACGAAAGTTCTAAAACATGAAACATTCACTGGTTACAGAACAACACAATCACATTTCAGTATTCTACCTTTTCACTTGCGTCCTTATGGGTATCAACATCTTCAAGCTGGTTTTGTAATTCAACCTTAATTGAATTAGTCACAAGAGGGCACTCTTCCACTCTGTTATTATCGCGTAGATTTGAATGTGAATCGCTGGGTGTGGCATTTGGCTTGGAATCAACAACATTAACTTCTTGTTTCTTATAGTGAACTGCTTCAGGAGGTGGACTTGTGGCCTGATGAGCCGTTTGGTCGTGTTCTTGGTTGGTGGCATTGTTTGACGTAGCATTATTTGCTTGTTCAAGCAAAGCAGCAGCCTTTTGAGCAGCGAGCTTCTTGTAATGAGCTTCAAAGAAAGCTTTCTTCTCTGCAACTGATCCAGGACGTGAAAACCTCTCTGCCTCTTCGACGTAGCGATTGTGAGAGAAAGTAGACCATCTCTCCCAAGCCAAAGACTCCGAACCAAACCTCCCAAATGAAATTGACTGCCCGAATGCATGAATTAGGTTGCTCTGAAACGCACAATTTTCCCAGGTTTTTCAAGCCATTCAAGACGAAGAAATGTTACTTTCGGTTAATGTGAACCCCAAATAAAATGACCAAAGCGGTTAAACTTAACCCTTCAAGTCAAGAATTGTAGAAGACTGGTCCGGTAAAAGAAAGAGCAGAGGAATAACTTTCTATTTATGGCCAAGGCAGAGGAATAACTTGAAGATCCAATTTTTGTGGTTCGTCGTGAAGAAGGAAAAGACGAAAAGATTTGAGAATCGAAGAATGCAAAGTATGAAGCATGAGGGTGAATGAACTGACCTCGTTGGCCTCGTTGGAAATGCCGGAAGCATAGCAGAATGGTTGTTGTTGCAAAAGACAGGCCGATTCTCCCATGTTTCTGGCTTTCTGCAACGTCGAAGCCTCAAAAGATCTGATCTTTTTTTAGTTTTTACTCTTTGGATTGTCTTTGTTTGGATTGATTTTATTTACGTGGCCCTTCTTGTTTCCTCTTTGATTTTTTTTTTTTTGGTTGGTCTGAGCCGCTGAGCCCTTCGCGATTACGGACCGTTCAAATTTGAAATTTAAATCGAAAGCTATGCACGATGCCTTAAAGCCGACAGCTTCGACTTGGAAAACAAGCTTGTACTGCGCAATGTTTGAAGTCTGACCATGTTATAATCGAGCGAGCTCCTCTAATAATTACTCACTATTTTATGTTATCGTACGAATAAATCTTAAAGATCTTAACTTCAACGGTTCTTTTTCGTAAGATGTATAAAAAAAAAAAAAAAACCTTCATTTGCTTAATGTCCATCTCTGTGTGGCTGTATATGATGGTCCATTCATTAGATGATCCCTTCACAGGACGTGCACAGAATTTTTTAAATTAATTTGATAATTTAGTTTTAAGAGTATTTACCAGTGAAATAAATAACTTATTAAATAATCAAAATAAATAATTCAATGGTTGGTTAGTAAAGTGGAAGCCATAATTCCCACCCTTTAACGTTAGCAGACTTAAAAAGAGAGAATAAATAATTTAGTCTCAAATTGATGAATAAAATAAAGAGAATAAAAACGTCACTGATTCAGGCTTCACGAAATTTAATACTCTTTCCTAAATTCAATCCAATAAGCCTTAAAATATAATGTGTTTAAAGAATGCTTACATAAATATTTACATCGACAAAATTATCACATCAAGAACAACAATGACAATTGAATCCTCTATTTTATAAATTATCCACTAACTGTGTGTTTGGATACAAAATTTAATCAATTTTTTGAGTTAAAAATCGATTTTTCAATCACATTACTCAAACACCAATTAAACCAAAGAATTGATTTTTTTTTCAAAAAATTGATTTTTTCCTGAAGCTAAAACACTTAGCTTCTGCGTTGGAATTATAAAGGAATGTGGGAAAATTATAAGAAAGGCCTAAGAAAAACAAAGTATAAAAAAGACACAAAATTTAATAAAAATAAAATTAAACTCCTTTCTCTTCTATTTTTTTCTTAGTAAAATTTAAATTTTAAATCCTTAAAAAAGTTACTAAAATAAATTCTTATCAAACACCATCCTCCACTTAGCACTTGTTATAAAATTAATTTAAATAAAATATTAATTGATAGAGAAAAAATAATTTAATTTAATTTTAAATTGAGGATCATTACAAAGATTGTTGCAAAGGTCTAGAAAAAAAAGTTTTGCGTCATTTATCACATTGTTACATTTTTTATGTTGCAAAAATTTCTAGACAGTGCTTATCATCTTTGTCGAATATAGCTTATATTCATGATGTCATTAGAGATTAACTTGTATATTATCATATTCATTAGTTATTACAAAATTAATATTTGACATTTAAGAATTAAATCTTTCTCTTTTATAAAATTTATTGAACTAAGATATATTGAGTTATTTATTTATGTAAATTAAAATTGTTAATATTGGTATAATTTAATTTTTTATAATTAATCATATATATAATTTAAATAATATATTTTACTTTTTGAATAGGATTTAACAAATTCAATAATACTATATATAAATTTATCAATAATTTAATTTTAAAAAGAAATGTCCTTTATGGGAATTAACACAAATAAAATTGATTATGAATAAGTTATCCAAACATCTTCAATTATATTAAAATTAATTTTTAAAAAAATAGTATTCTAACATATTGCATTATAATATAATCAATTATAATTATTTGGGTAAAGGTGCATTTTTATCCTTAAAATATTTTTTAAGGAACACCTAACACCCTAACATTTTTGTTGGAGTAATTTTACCCTTAGTGCTATCCAAATAGAACATTTTTGCCTTTTTCAACAAATTTTTTAATAGGCAATATTTGATGTCAACATTAAAAATTTAACGTTATCAAAATGCTCCGTTTTGATAATGTTAAGGGTAAAATTACTCTAACAAAAATGTTAGGATATTGGGTGCTCTTCAAAAAATACTTTAAGGATAAAAATACAATTTTACCTTTAAAATAATTCATTTAATAAATTATTTTTAAAATTAATTATATCTAACTGAAATTGAAACGGATCCTAAATAAACTTTTATTAATGATTTGCACTAATCTTTGTTTTGCTTGAGCATTACCGTCTTATTCACTAGAGCTGAAAAAATGAGCTTGCCCAACGGCCCTTAACGGGCTCAGGCCTAAAAGGGTTGGGCTTAAAAAGCCTATTTTTCTTTTAAGGCATCGAATTGATAGGCTCAACCCTTAAGACAGCGGGCTCTGGGCCGACCTTGCAGGCTTCAAGCCCTATTACTTATTTTTATTTTTTTTATTAAATTTTTTATCAAATTAAATAGTAATACTTCATTTCATTTCACAACTCAAAAATCGTAAACCAATATATAAATCAAGAATACAACCATATCAATAAACAAAATGACAGCAATCAAAATAAACAACTAAATAAATCACAAACACAAACAAAATGTTAGCATCAGAATGATTAAACGAGATAAAACATAGACATAAGTCTGATTGAGAGCAAAACTAAAAATGAGGGAAGAACAAGGAAAAGCAAATTAGACTACAATTCTATTCGACCAAGAGAAGGACTTGAGAGATGCTATCATTTGAGTCTTTAAGCTCGGCGAAGCACTGTCACAGGCGAAGGAGTACAAGGAAGCACGGTCGTAAATAGAGGAGCATCATTAGGATTTGGGAGATGCTATCGATAAAGAAAAATAATGAGAGACAAGTACAACTCACATGAATAAGAGATAAATTGCAAAGGGGTAGAATCGATGGAATGGAGTCTGGAGAGTTAAGTTATTGGATTTAGGGTTAGTTGTTATTTTTTTAATGTTTTTTCTTCCCTGTAGATATAGGCTAACATGTACAGATTAATCATGCTTAAACTTTTTTCTAAGTCCAAGAGTCTATCAAAACTTAATCACTTAAATACAAAAAAAAAAAAGAGTTACATGAGTTTAAATGGGCTAGCTCTTGGCCCTTTAAGGCCAACCTATTTATTTTTAAGCCCATTAGGGTCAACCCGTTTAAGCTTAAATTACATTTGAAGGGTCTTAATTGCAAGCTCGGCTCTGCTGGGCATGTATTACTAACTCTAATATTCACTTTGATTTGGGGCCCATGTTTGAATAAAGCTTCAGGGCCCGTTTGAAAAATTGGATGTAATTGGTTATAAAAATAATTAATTAATATAATTAATTTTAATTATAATTGATTATATTGTAATGCAATTTGTCTGGATGCTAAAATTAATTTTAGTTGTATAAATTAAAATAAAGAATATTACTTTTTAAAATTAAATTATTAATAAAGTTGTATTGAAAATTATTAAATTTGTTAAACTTTATCTAAAAAGTAAAATATATTATTTGACATTAAAATTGAATTTATAAGCAACTCCCATTGATTTATTTCAAAACATGATTTAGATCAATATCAATTATTAAATTATTAATTGTTTGGGTAACTTTTTTGAAAATTGATTATTTAGCCTCAATAGTCAATCTTTCTGTCAATCCAAACAGGTAGTTATAAACCAAATCTCCAACTTCATGCCCAACCGTTTAGGTCGTTTGAATTTGACTATTTTCTTTGGACCAGAGCAAAAAGAATTTTAGGGTTTTCTCAAAAAAAAAATCTGTTATTTTTTGGAGAAAGAAAGAAAAGAAAAGAAGTCAAATTACAATTGAACATTTAAAAACTTGAAACTTAAAAGTCTTATGTGCGAATGTAAGAGTTTTAACTTTTCTTTTTCCTTTTTAATATTTTATCTGTAATCTAGTTTGATGGTTTTAATTTAAGTAATTAATCCTTGCTAGTTGTTACTTGTATTCTTCTGTAGCAAAAATATTTTAAAATCATTAGAAACAACAATAAAAAATAAATAAAGATCTGCCGCTGAAGTTGGGGTCATTTCATTTGGATCAATCGCCCTAGCAAAAAAGAGAAAACAGTTTGGGTTACATGAAGTATTGACATTATATGAGCCACGCGAATTATATATATATATATATATATATATCTGTGTGTGTGTGTGTGTGTGTGTGTGACGCGAATTGTGTGTGTGTGTGTGTGTGTGGATTTTTAGCCTTGGATGGCGAAGGGTGGAGAAGCATCGTGGATCTCGCATTGTGTTAATTTAAGTATGCCCCGATTCTTGCATATACATCCACGTTAAATATATATATATATATATTTATTTATTTATTTATTTATTTATGAAATTGCGTCGTTCCTTTATATTTCCCAGCACGTTCCTGAATTAAAGAACCATACATATTTAAGTTGGATTTACCTCCTCTAAAATTGATATATGTATATTTATGTAGAAGTCTCGCAACTGTGGGATGTTGAGATATTTAAATAAAAATAGAAATTTATATGCCTTAAAAAAACAATAAAATGAAAAATATTAAAATAATTTATAAAAATTTACGTGTTTAAATTTTAGAGATTTTTTTTTTAAATAAAAGCCACAAAAAGTGTGTTAGATGACATGTTGTGTCATATCAACATATAACAAATTCTACAACCAAGTGATGGGGTGTCAAAAATATAAATATTAAATTCATCGATAGAAGCTTAATGAGTCAACCAAATTACACATTTGTTAGCCTCCCTATAGACGTGATCGAAGGTAATCATTCAGTCTCTTATAACAAAATTTTTTATTTTGTTGATAGTTGGAATTAAAAGGTGATTTATAAATAACTCATTGCATATTAACGTGAGAGTTTTTAAAAAGTTAAACTAAACATTAAATTTATCAATCTTTTTAGCCCAACAAATGTTTAGTTCTTTCAAGATATCCATAAATTTAGTTCTTATACTTGAGTGATATTTGATATATTTGGAAAAGCCATTCATTCAATTGTCATGTTCATTTTAAATAAGGCCATAACAGGAAGTTGCATCTTAATTATTGACTGAGTCATTTATATCAAATCTAACCCATCCATATCTAGGCCATGACCATTTTAGTTTTGATTTATCATCTTATTAAGTCAAAAAATTAATTATTAATTAAAAACATTGAGAATATTTTAAATGTTAATAAATATGATGTCTTTGTTAGGATTGTCTTCTTCAAAATAATTTTAGAGAATTTAAACCTCTTTATTTAAGACCTGACATCACGAATTTGGCTGCTTCCTCTGCCACTACCAAAATCACAAACCCTTATTGTTACTTTTCATATTGCAATAGTACTGGCCTTTTTCCGCGCGCTTTCTATATTTTATTCTATTTATTTATTATTTTTGATTGGATGTACTTTTTAAAATATCTATTAATTTAGTTTCATAATATTTATTTTGAATATTGAATCAAAAGTATATTTAAATTTTCAAAAATGCTATTCAAACTGGCACTAAATATATAAGGTCTAAGTTTTAATTCAATTTGATTTGATTTAAAAATTAAAGTATTAGTAGAGCAAGTTACAAGATAATAATAAAATTATTTAATATGATTTCTAGTTATCAATATGGACACATTATGGGCAGTGCAAATTGTGAGATTCAATTTTTACTCCCTTGCGTCCTTACTAATTCCCCCCCCCTTAAATACCTTTGTTTTGATATTTACTAATAAATTAAATGATATCTTAGCTAATAAAACAACCCCCTATTATTAATAAATTTCATTCAGAATAATTCTACAATTTTGAAAGTATTAACTAATAATAATGTTCTCAATCTATGTTGAATATTTGACAAGCCTTAATGGTAAGGACTAGATGGATTCCTGTTTATGAATAGAAATGTTTCTTCATTGGTTACAAAAAATTAATAAGGGCGGGTATTTTGGAGTTCATAAAGTGAATTTATAGAAAGTTTAAGTTACTAGGAAATACTCCCCACGCTGTTCATTATAAGGAACCTCTAAACATATCATCACAATCAAGAAAAAAAAAAAAAAGCGGTTAATGATGAGAAAAACAAGGCCAATAATTTATACCTAGCGAAAATAAATTCCTATCACTTCCTAGAACTTCAAAGTGAATTTATAGAAAGATTAAGTTACTAGGAAATACTCCCTCTACTATTTATTATAAGGCACCTCTAAACATATCATTATAATCAAGAAAAAAAGGTGGTTAATAATGAGAAAAATATGGCCCAATAATTTATATCTGGTGAAAATAAATTTCCACCACTTGCTAGAACTTTAGAGGAGCAAATAAACAAGTATATGACAGAAAAATAAATAGCACAAATTTAGCCAAAGACACTACAAATTATTAATGTGAAAAACCCCTTAATGCAAGGGTAAAAATATGAGTCATATAGATTAATGAAAAACAGTTCCAATCAAATACGCAAACAACTGCAAGCAAATGATGAAGATCATGAAAAACATTCAAATTAGAGACAAAATATAGTGAAGTGAGAAAATTGGCGATCCAACTATTAAAAATAATGAAAAAATTAATGTAATTAATATCACATCAAATACCTAATATCCATGGGACCATCAATTATTTGCAGAATACGTTGTATAATGAAGAAGTACATAGTAATTGGGAGTGGTAATTAGACGAGCAACAACTGAGGGTTGAATTAAGTGGGTCTACTTAACACGAAATTATTATTGATAATAACCGACAGAAATAAGCGACCAGGCGAAGAAACCTTATTCGACACTCCATGATGATGCCCGCGACCTCTTTTTTAAGGAAACAATAAAAAGTTATGATCTCATCATTCTTAAGCCCCCACATGTGGATGCTTCAGCACTTCAATCCAAAGTGATTTACAAAAAATCACCCAAGTAATTACAGAAATCCAACCCCCCTTTTATCAATTATATCGTGATTCAATTTTTAATTAAATATTTTATAGCTTGTTTAATTATAACTGTGAATCATTATCTTGTCTCTTATCAATATTATTAAAAATATTACTACATATGAAGCGCACCAATTTAATTTACTTCCTCATGTATACTCAAGATCATGTTCGTAGATTCACAGTTATTTTGATCTGAGATAATTAAATATATGAAAGAACTTCCCCCAGATTCATGCATAGAGGAAGTGACGGAGATTCCCATTCCAATATAATTGGTTTCAGTGCTTGGCACGACTCACTCCCAATTATTCAACTCCAAATGTTTATCGCTTCAATAAAAAAGCTGCATTATATGCATCACGTCCTAAAGTTGCACGAGTCTTTAATTTGTCCCAACATGTACACGCTTCTATTAATTAAGCATGTTTAAGTGCTTTATTTTATACATTATATGTTGCCTGCTTTCTTTTCCACAGTCATGAGTCATCATTATACACCTATCTGGTTGAACATATCATATCACTTCGTTTTCATTGATCAAATATAAACTGCTCACTTGATATATACTTTTATCAAATCAAAAGCCAAAAGTGAGGGTGGATTTAGAAATGAGGACCCAAAAAAAAAAAAAAAAGCCATGGGATCGATGAAAACAAGGTGCAAAATGCATCTAATTAATCAAATCAATTATTATTATTGATTCAAAAGACGCAAGGGACCAAGTGAGAAAACCTGGGCATATGATCATGATGCTGTGTGTGACCACTTCAATAAATTAAAATCTACACACGGCCAGTTACGCAGGAGACAAGAACAAGTGATGATTGTTTTCAAGCCTGTCCTATCCCCAATCAATCCAAAGTAATAATGAAATGAAAGACCAAGCGATCACATAACTCCAATTGGCATTCGACATGAAAAGCATCATCACATGCCTCAAAGTTAAGCATTAATTCACCACAGAACCAGGAAATGCAGGGACATCGAAGCACGTAGCAAACTTCTTTACATTTAGTTTTTTCTCAGAGATGTTATTTTGCTTCAGAGAGATTGTCAAAATTCTAAGGGTTGTTATACTGATTATCTATTTCCAAAGCAGAAAACATCCTGATCCATCAAAGGATCGAAGCCATCCCATTCGAGAATGGATTCCATGCTAATACTATCGACCCATTCCAGTAACGAGTTTTCCCCCAGGTAAGAAGATTCGCTCATGGAAAGGTGGCTAGAATCTTCCAGAGAAAAAGACGAGCCACTAAAAGAGCCAGTACTGGCATTCTTCTCTTGGTTCGTCCTCGATCCCAGGTCCAAGTCGGAGCATATTATTTCGTTTTTGTTTGGAAGATCATAGGTAAGATCATCCCAAGTCACCTTGTTTAATTCTACCTTGTTCCCTTGTTCTTCTGAAACAACTTGTAGTGTGCAGCCGCTACTGTCCGAGGACTTCATTATCATCTCCACATTTTCTTCCGACCCTGTGGAAAAACTCGGCCTTGATTGGCTTCTTTGTTTCCTATTATCGCTGACTTCTTGCTTTTGTATTTGCTCGATCGGCGTGTGTGTCACAGGGTCGAGACCCATCAGCTTCATCTTCTTCTTGATCCTCGTGTTCCAATGGTTCTTGATTTCATTGTCCGTCCTCCCAGGAAAATGTGCAGCAATCTTAGACCACCTGAGAATGTGATGATCATTCATTGTGTTAGTGTGAAACTGAACAGTGATCATCCTATAAATTAACCTTCACACAATCATATATATGGTATAAAAATCTTTACCTGTTACCAAGACGTGAATGTAGCTGAATAATTTGATCCTCTTCCGTATCCGTGAAGCCGCCTCTCTTGAGGTCTGGCCTCAGATAATTGATCCATCTCAATCTGCAGCTCTTTCCACATCGCAGCAGACCTTGATCAATCACCGAAACGGAAACAAATAGAACCGATTTAGACACGCAATAAATACCAATCAAACGCAAATGAATTAAGAACACACGGAAAGTGTATGCACCTGCAAGCTTGGGAACCATACGCCAGCAATGGATGCCATTGTTGAGGATGAAGTTGATGAGCTTGTGATCTTCCTCAATGGTCCAAGGGCCTCGCTTCAAACCAACCTTATCACAACAAGGCTGCCTTCCCATTTTCGGAAACTAGTCTAATCTTGAATAAACAGAGAGTGGAATAAGTGGACCATATAAAGGAGGAAGAGGTGCTTATAAAGGAGCTTGAATTCCAAGCAAAGATGCTGCCAGATCACCCACACATATTAAAATCAGCAGTGTGTCGTCTCAGAGGGGAGATTAATGATTGGACGGAAAGCATTGAGTTGAAAGCTAACCACAAAAGAAATGGAGGCTCGTCATTATCATAAAAGCCTCGCCACTCCCCACTCTTATTAATTCAATGAGCTGTGCTCTATAATGAAAATATTACGGCGAAGAAGAAGAAGAACCAGACGTACGTGGATCATCTTTCCACCTTGACAAGTTTTATTTTATTTTTCAAAAAGAAATTATATTTGTACACATATACACATGTCATTGTTTCCTGGTCTGTGTGAGCCTCGAAGAAGCATAAAAATAAAAGGGGTTGATGGGATTCCTTGGTTCGCAAAAGGCTGGCCAGCTTTGCCGTAGCAGACAAACTTTCTTTTAGGCAAGAGATGCTTTCTCACCGTTCTATGAAAGCGGGCTGAAATTCCACCCGTGGATTCACTCGCCACTGTACCCTTCACGGCTCGTGTAATGAATAAGAGGTAATAATTAGAGTCAAGAATTTAGGTCGGGTTTGACGGGCTGCCATTTAAGCCCGTTTCAATAAGGATTCGGGCTTAAAAATTTGACATTTTTTAGGGTAATCGGGCTTCAAAGCCCGGCCCTTTTAAACCCTAAAAAAAGGGCTTGGGCTCGGACAGCCCGTGAAGTCGTTTTACTATTCACAAAGTATTTTTTTCACCTTTTTTCAGATAATGTGCAAACATTGATTTGTATTTTGTACCAGCAATTGGTTGAATTGTTTTGTGCCATTTTATAGTAATTTTTATATTTTATCTTGTGATATATGTATATATATATATTTGATAATAAAACAATTTAATTAATAATTATTGTAGGTGACGATGAAGAAGCTGCAGAAATAATTCATATTGAGCCTCCGCCTCCATCTTTTACAAGTGGATCTACATCTAAGGGTTTTAATATTTTATTTATGGATGATAATGAGGGAAATTTTGGTTAGGATTGATGATGATGTTTGCCTTCATTTTATTTGGACTTTTAAATTTTTTGTTCATTTTTTAGATTATGTGAGACTTTGGTTTGATATATGTTAAATTTTAAAATATTCTAAATAAATTTTAATGTTGAATTTTATTTTATTTTATTCTTATCCGGGCTTACGGGCTCGACCCTGAACTCTATAAATAAGGGTCGGGCTTTAATTTTAGGGTAAAATTGGGATAACCGGGTTTTAGGGCCTAGGCTCATAAGGGTCGAGCCCATATGGTTAGGCCCGCCCGTTTACCAACTCTACAACAAATAATACATCAATGCCCCACTCAGTGATGAATATTAAGTAATAAAGTAGGAAAAGGACGTCACTACAAATAAAATTGAAGGGATATCTAATCCCAACTTCAGTGAAGTCGATTCAGTGATCATTATTAATTATATATGTCTTAATGGCTGGATGCTGATATTTAATTTCACTGGAGACCGGAGGACGTGACCAAGTTGTAAAATTCAAAAGAGTTGAATTTGACAAATTATATATATTATTTCTGACTTTGGATGGATGATGGATGTGAAGGGATCAAAGAAGCCAGAAATAAGCAGAAAGTGAGAGCCTGGATGGGGTAGCTCAATCATACTTATTCTCCTGAGCAGGGGACATCAGCGGGGTCACTTTAAAAAATGTTCAAGTACATAAACCGAACATCTCTGCACGATCCCATCACCAGTGTGCACTTGAAACCGTAAATTAACACATACTTAAACTTAAAAAGTCTATTTAAAAATAGCAATTATTTATTCATTTTAACAAAAGCACATTTTAAATATAATTTAAATAAATTTTGGAGGGAAACCCAAACAAGCCCTTCCTCTCATCACTTTTGAGATTTCAGATCTATTTAATTTAATTTATTAGGCTCTTGACAGTTAACATCCATCATTTCCCTGCCTAGGTTGTGGCGTTAGATTTACAAGTTAAAATGCACATTAATTTGGTCGTTGATCACTATGCTGGTCATCAGTTGTCACATCCCTTGGTAATTTAGAGTTAATTTTTTTTGTAAAAATAATAATAATTATAAAAGTTGACGCTTTTCTCTTCAAATTTAACATTCTGATTTTTCATAAACGTTAAGTACGTTCCTGTTTTATTTTACGTTTCAATTGATTGGTCTTTGTTTCATTCCGTGGTGTTAATAGTTTTTCAACGAAAATTAAGGATGATAAATTAATTAAGGATGTAGCATATAGCGAGAATGGAATGGATAAGAGTTGGTTGACTTTGGGATTGTAAGATTCTTGTTCATCTCCCGACAGTGTGATTTAGGAGCGGCTGACTCATACTCATACGTTGAACCAGAGGACGACCCTATACGCTTAGCTATCTTCAACCGAAACCCAATTTATAAATCGTACATCCCCCGAGATCGATCGCAGTCAATTGTATATGTGTTGTGCACCACACAAAAAAAAAAAAAAAAGAAAAAAAAGATTGATGCATGATCGGGTCGTCCGGTTCATGCACCCGAATATTCCCCAAAATCTCTAGCGATCTAAGCTGTTCATATTTTGCCAAGCAAAGCGCCCCCAACTTCATTTATTTAATCATAACAAGACCTAATAAGCCACTCCTTAATTCCCTCCTTATTATGTAAAGTCCTATATTAACTACTTTTATAATATTAAGGAAGTTAGTTAAGATTGATTAAATGTTAAACATTTTTGCAACTTTCAAAAATTACCCTTTCATTGGTATGATTCATCGGGTTAGAGAGGCAGATGGAAAAGCCATGGTTTAATTTTTAAAAAAATAAATGACAAATATTTTATTAAATTTTGTAAGGGGTCTTATATCAACGACTAATAGATGGGATCATATAAAATAAGAAAGGAGGGAGTTCTGAATGAATGCCATGGGATTAGATTATAGAGGTACACTTAAATACTTGGTGTTGAACTATTCTCCCGTAGGTCTGAGTAATTAGACGCGTAATTAAGATTCAAAGATATGTCTTAGCTGAACAAAAAAAAAAAAAAAAAAAAAAGATGCAGAGATATGGAATGAAGAGAAGCAAGGATGGCGTGTTGGGGAGACAAGGGGAATAAGATAAGAGGAGGCTCAGAGGCGTGCATGTACATTCCAACTAAGTTGTCACTCACCCTACCACCCCGTCTTCTTATTTATTCTCTCACCATGGACTTCTTCGTCTTAAATCTTAATAAACCCTCGTACGGATCATTTCATTTTTTTTCCCCCTCCTGTTTTTGTTTAGAGGTCGTTACGCTCAAACTTCAAAGTGCGTTATTTTTTTCATATAAATATGAACGGGCTAGTTATTGAATATTCCAGTCCAAGCATGACGATTGCATAATTTTTCAATTAAAGTAGTACATGCGTATTATTATTAATTGCACGTGGATCTTTTCTTCTCCCTCGGGAGAGGGGAAACGTGGCATTGTGGACTGAGATACAAACCCATAAGAGGTGACTTGGTGTTTGAGCCCAAGCCCATCTCCCACCTTGCAAATAAAAATGATGCCAACGAAAACTTTTGTGGAATCCAAATTCCACAGCATCACACACTTTCATTCACCCCCCACTCCGACAGTATATTGTGGATTATTTTGACGGAGAAATGGAACTAATGAGTTTGAGTGAAATGAGCAACAAGTATTTAACTCTGTCAAATTAAAGTTAATAAAATAATAAGTGCGGCTCTAAATTTAACTAAGTCAACCTTGTATTGTAACAAACAAGTGGTTTAAAAACTAAGTTTATCACACATATATGAGTATGTTATTCTAATGACATTTTAATGTCAGTCTATAAATGAGAACTTTTAAAATACATCAATTTTTAAACTTCACAATTTATAATTGATTACATCATGTTAACAAGTAAAATTATTAAAATAACAAGTGTCATTATGAATTTAATAAGATATAGTTATATTATAACATGAAAATGGCTTAAAAGCTTGAGTTATTACATATATTTTTATCCTTGATATAATTAAATGAATTTGGTGGCTTAGTGATCAAAAACTTATAAATAGTTAGCGAGTTATGAGTTCAAACCCCCTAGCCACCTTTACTAGTTATCAAATTAATTGGTTATAGTGCTACCATCATTGGCGACTATTAGATTGACTTTTTTAAAAAAATAAGGGTATTGTTGTCATTCCATACTCAAACTTATTTACATCTTAGTCCTTTAACCCTATAGTGTAAAATTAGAAATCTTTTAGTCCTTTATTGCAAAAAAAAAGTGGCTACAAAAGTCCTCTAGTGTGATTGTCCTTTTTTTAATATGCATGCTTTTATATATCTTTTTTTTTGTTTTAATAAAAATATATACCATCCTATCTTTTTGTTCTTTATATTGATAAACTCTCACATATTATTGTGGATATAGTGATTGACAAGATCGAGTCTGATTATAATGGCAACATATGGAACCCTTGTCTCACATCTTTTGCTTGCAGACGATTTACTGCTCTTTTAGGAAGCTAGCATGGAGCAATTAGATGTTGTGTTCAAGACTTTGGGAATGTTTATTAATATTTCTAGCTAACAAGTGAGTACTGGAAAAACAACGTAACTATATTTTTCTCTAACAATGTGCTTCCTATTTACAGGAAAAGATTGTCAAATAGATTGGTTTTGCGAGCAGTGATGCTCTTAGCAAGTACCTTAGATTGAGAGATATAAATGGGTGCAATAAAAAACAGCAGTTCAACTTTTTGATCGAGAAGGTGCAATGTAAATCAAGCAGGTGGAAGTTGCAAACTTTCTCACTTGCAAGAAGACTAACTCTTGTTAAATCTGTGACATTCCAGAGCCCTAATTATCATATGATGCATAGTAAGGTGCTAGTGATTATTTGCAATGAGATTGAAAAAAAATCCTAAAGGAACTTTATTTAGAATTCAAGAGGTTAGGGAAGAATTCATGCCCTTAGTTGGAAGACACTTTGTGACCCTATAGACATCAGGGGTTATGGTTTGCAAAGGATATAAGTTATAAATGAAGCTTAGTTGTGCAAAGTGGTTTGGAACATCATTTATAGGCTTGACATTTTGTGTGCTTCCTTGCTATGAGGAAAATATATGAGGAAAGCTAGTTTTACTAAAAAGGTTGTGACTAAATCTAATGACTTTGCATTTTGGAGGAACATTATTGAGTTGTAGTCGAGTGTTGTTAAGTTCATCCCATGGGATATTTGGGAGGTAATACGATATCTTTTTGGAAAAACAAGTAGTTTAGCGGTGGAGGGGCTTGATTGATCATTGTATAAAGCAAATCCCTTTGGACATGATTGATATGAAAGTTTTTGAGGCAATGAAAGATGCAAGAGAGTGGAACTTACCTATATTACCCAATTATCTTGATGTCAATGAGTTTAATTTAATCATGGGACATCATCCATTGAGTCAATTTGATGGCAGGGATAGAGTTGGGTAGGAGCTTAAGGCTAATAAGTCCTTCATGGTCTCCTTTACGTATGAAGTTTTGAGCGAAGCTCCTAATGGTGATCTAAACCAAGCGTGGAGTTCAATTTGGCAATGAAAAGACCCTCAAAGAGTGCAAACCTTCATGTGGTTGGCTATTCATAAGAGAATTATGACAAATTAGTAGAGAAATTTGATTTTTAGAGTTCCTAACTACTGTGATCTTTGCCATAATGTAGCAGAAGATGTGTTGCATGTGATTAGGGACTATACCAAGGCAAGAGGTGCCTAAAATGAATTCCTTTTCACAAGAGGAGGAGGTTGGTTCTGCTTTCTTATAACAAGAGAGACTGGTTTTTATGGAATTTGAAAAATGGTAGATATCACAATGGTATTGCTAGCCCTCACGATTTGGAAACTATATGGAAAGCCAGGAATGAGGGGATATCTAATGGGGATAATATATTTGTTGCAAGACTCATAAATAGAATATGCAATTTTGTGAGGCTTGTGCAAGTTAGCACAAAGTGCAATATGCAAACAATGGTTGCTCAAAGACCTACTCAAGGTGTCCAGGAGCCACCATTGAATGACTGGATAGAACTTAATATAGACGGTGCCATGAGAGGTAATCTAGGTGCAGCTAGCTGTGGTGGTGTTTTTCGCAACTTGGCCGAGAAGTGGATGGGAGGCTTTTGTCTATAGTTTAGGTTATTGTATGGTTAAAGAAGCGGAATTTTGGACTTTCTACCATGGCTTACAGGTAGCTTGACATTTCAATATGATTAAACTAATAGTGGAAAGTGACTCCATCTCTGTTGTTCAAGAGTTCCAATTGGCTTTAGAGAATAATGAGTCTCAACAGCATCAAATGCGTTGTGCTATTAATTTGATCAATGAGGATTGGCAGATTTTGGTGAGATATGTTTCATGAAAGCAATCAGTGCACTAATTGGATTGTGAAATTTGGCTTATTTCAATGTATTGAGTGTAGTATATATTCCTACTACACCTCCTAGAAGTTTCTTGAGTAGATGTATCGAGATTTTATGAGTCATAATGATCCTAGTTCTTTTAGTTAAATAAAAGTTTTGGGCTCTGCCTTATTTCTGATTTAAAAAAAAAAAATCCTATATCTATATATCCACGCCATTAATTAATGTCCATGTCAGGTTAGTGTTGCGGATATTCATGGCAACGGAGTATTCAATTAGTTTGCATTGCTTTGTTTTTTATCTTCTGGTTAGTTTGCCCCATTTTCCCATTTTCTCTCCCTTGTAAGTCCAGCTCAAGTGATCGCGGATGCCTTTCTCCACATCAGAGCGTTAGGGGAAAATATGGGTTTAACAATGAAGGACATTTAAACTTTAACGAAATCTAGGTGCATGGAAAATTCATTCACCGAGCCTATGCAACTTTTTCAAAATTAATAAGAATTAAATTAAATTATAACAAGACATTAAACTATGTGGATGAAAATAAAGTTAAAAAAAACTTTCTTTAAAAATAGGAGAATGACATTTAAGACTCCATTAAAAAAATTTATTGTAATAAAGACTCATTAGTTTTATGGTGAATATTGTCTTATAAAAACACTTATTTGCTATTATTAAAAACTAAATTTTAATTTATATTTTTTGTTAGAATCTTTTTAAAAATTTAATAAGTTAAGGGTTCAACTTTTAATAACAGCATATATATGTTTTTATAAAATAATATTCAATACGAAATTTATAAGTTTTTATTGTGATAAATTTTCTTTTGAGAAAAAAGACAACATATGTGTAAACTTGAAATAAGTTACCCCCTGGCTTAATGTTCCCAAGCACTACAGGAAGGAGGAGGAATTAAAGAGCCCCATAAAACTGGATCATGAATGCCGCCTTATACGGGACGTAACCGCCTAGGCCGCCGTAATTAAGTCGTGGGAAGGCCTCGACAGGGACATGGCCATCATCAAACCCTCTTATTATTTTTCTTAAAAGGAAGATAAAAAGTCAAAAAAGGTCGCCTTAGGTAATTACCACAGCCACAAAACCATACAAAAAAGTCTTGACAATTGAAGACACCACCGGACTTTGATCAATTGATCTCATGAACTGGTAATTCCCGTCTTTAGCAACAGAAGAGTATTAAACTAGCTAGGTGTATTGCGTAATAGCAAACGCTATCATTTCAAGTCAAGAGCCAACGGCATGAAAATAAAAAGGTTGTGTGGGTGCGTTTGGGCATGTGCCTTTTTTAAATTATGTAGTAAAAATAACGAATTAAAAATATAAAAGGGTGGGACTGTAAATGTCGGGAAGAAACGGAAAATGCATGAGAGTGGTAGCCAGCACTAGCGATTTAACCACCGCATGTGAAGCGACATGTACGGGTAGGGGGAGACGACTCGGATTTACAGGTTAAGACCTTCCTCCACCCTCCTTTCTTCCTCCTGCCATCATCAGCGTCAACGAATGACATGACGCACGCCCAAGAGCATTGCCATGTCACCCCAGTTTTCCGAGGTGCAGGCAGCCATGAAAGATCGTCGCCGACGTGACTCCCCCGCCCTTTCATGGATCTCCTTCTTCTGGTGCACCCTCTTCGTCGTCCTCTCTTCCGCCATCCTCACCTCCCTCGCCACTCTCCGTCGCTTCTATTCCCAAGGTGCATACCCCTTCTCCCTCTCCCTCCTCATTCTCATTCTCGTTCATTTAATTCCCCCGTTTTTGATTCCACACAGATCCGCCTCACCCGAGCGCCCTCCTCTCACGCCAAACCTGGGTCCTGCAAGCCAAATCCAGCCACTCCTCCCACACTCCCGCTCTTACGGTTCGAGAAACGGTCGTGCTCCCGAATCAGGCTCTTGTTTTCCTGAATTACCCCCCATCTTTCCGCTTTTATACCCCAGATGACATCCAGTGCGTATATTCCTGGCCCAACTCCTCCACCACTCGCGAGCCTCCGCTTCAAATAGAGCCCACCCATGCTCGCGAGCACATGGTTCGGTGCCCGATCCACCCGCTCCGCCTCAACGTCTCCCTCGCCGTCCAATCCAAGGTTTCTTTCCGTCCCAATTACAAGTGGCACCCGCTCGTCTACGAGGCCCTGTTCGACAGCGACAACACCACCATCGTCTTCGTCAAGGGCTTCAACCTTCGTCCCGCCAGAGAAGCCGACCCTTCCAGATTCCAGTGCCTCTTCGGCTGGGATTTCAACTCCCCCAAGTATCTCCTCACCTCCGACGTCATTTCCGTCGCCCAGGAGATCATCCGCTGCAGAACCCCTTCCAGCATTCTCACTAGCCACCCCAGGGTGAGATCTTCCTTCAAGGTTTCAGTCAGGGCGGTCGGCAGAAAAGTACTGCCCACCATAGCCATGCCAGGTCTCCGGCCTCGACTTGGCCCGCCATCCCCGAAACGCCACGTAATGTGCGTGTGCACCATGTTACGGAACCAGGCCCGGTTCATCAAGGAGTGGATAATGTACCATACTCGAATCGGGGTCCAAAGGTGGTTCATCTACGACAACAACAGCAGCGACGATATCATCGCCGTGATTGCGCTCCTACGGCGAGCCCGATACAACATCACGCGCCACGTGTGGCCGTGGATTAAGACCCAGGAAGCCGGGTTCGCTCACTGTGCATTACGGGCACGAGACGTGTGCGAGTGGGTTGGCTTCATCGACGTGGACGAGTTCTTCAACCTGAAAATAGAAGAGAACCTGGAAGGAGCGATCCTGCGGGAAACGAGCGAGTTCAAGAACGCGGGGGAGATACGGACGAGCTGCTTCAGTTTCGGACCGTCGGGGCTGAAGAAGATACCTCGCGAGGGAGTGATGGTGGGGTACACGTGCAGGATGGCGGAGAGGGAGAGGCACAAGAGCATAGTGAGGCCGGAAGCGTTGAATGAGAACCTGATAAATGTGGTGCACCACTTTCATCTGAAGGAAGGGTACGTGACGGTGGACGCTGACCGGAGCGCGATGGTGATAAATCATTACAAGTACCAGGTGTGGAAGGTGTTCAAAGACAAGTTCCAGAGGAGGGTGTCCGCCTACGTGGTTGATTGGAAGAGAAGAGAGAACGTAGGGTCCAAGGATAGAGTACCCGGCTTAGGGAGCAGCGCGGTGGAGCCGCCCAATTGGGCGAACCGGTTCTGCGAAGTCTGGGACACGGGTCTGAAGAACCGGGTAGTGCAGGTGTTCATGGACCCGACCAATCGTCTGCTTCCGTGGCAACCGAAGGAAGAGCTTGAGCAGCATCTTAGGAAACCACGAAGGAGGAGACGAAGGCAGAGAGGAGTCTCCACCAAGCAAAACGACACCCAACGAAGTGTTTAAGTGGTGTTCGGCGCGAGGATGACGTGGAAAGCACAATATAGAGTTGCAGTGTATAGAGGTAGTTGAATCCCGGGCTCTTTGTACATATAGTCAACGCAACAGCATATATCAAAGGGGACGTGTTATTTAGAAGCCATGAGCTATGTCAATTTTTGCATCTGTGGATGTCTAAGTACCATCTTTAAGGGTCAGTGAATATACTAGTTTAGAATTTGTGCACAGCACACCACCATCTCGCCTTAGTTATAATTACTATTACTATTAAACACATTTTTTGTGCAACATGAACTATAAAGGGAGCTGCATTGTTAATTATTATCATTAATGATTACTAAATACTGTGATTTGTTGTATATTTGAATATTGACAGATTATATGTACAAAAGTTGTGATTAAAAAAAGTAAATATATATGTAGCAATGTCTCACATTAGTTTTTCTCAATTTAATTCTCTTGATATTAATTGCTAAATAATCGTCAAATGCATTATCAATATTCATGATTTAGAATCGAAGTTAATAAAAAAAAATCCTTAAAACAAAGACATAGTAATTCAATAAAAATTTAACTTTTTAAAACAAAAATAGAAAGCATGCTAAATGCATATATATAATACTAAATGTAAATATTTTTTTAATGAGAATTTAAACCTGTATGTTGCGAGAGATTAATTCATTTTTTAAACCTAATATCTGATGATTAATTAAACTTATTCTTATTGTTTGGGGTGTTATTTTTTTCGTTGGTAACATTTTTGAGGTGATATATCTTAAAAGTATTAAATATATTTTATCCAATTTCACTTGTTTTTTAATTTCAACGCAACAAAGGAAATTATGGCCGGAATGAGCCGTTATACACATGATAAAGGCAACGTCCCCGAAAAACGGTAATCATTAGCCGGAAAGAAAAATGGAAAACGGAAGCGAATAGCCGAACCACGCGTGCACAACGAGCCACCACGTTTCCGCCCTCACATTATAGCCGTTGCAACTGCCGGCCCTGCGATTTCATTCAAAAATTTCGACCGTTAGGCTCACATTACACGACTCAAGATCACTCCCCTGATTCGTAGCACAACCTCTCTCTCTCTCTCTCTCTCTCTCTCTCTGTGTCTGTGACATCCCAGACCCTGACCTTTCCGGGGGGAAATGGTGAGCCAAGAACAAAGACGCAGCCCACAAGACCAAAAGAACCCATCCAGAGAAGCAAAGCCATTGGAAAATGGAGACAACTTGGGCGGCATGTTCAGCCCCAGATTCAAATCGGCTGCCGCTTTGGCTGGTTGGGACGAGGAGACCCTGCTATTCGCCAGCCTCGTCGTCGAAGACACCCCGGACAGACCTCCTAAGCATCGCAAACACTTTGATTTTAACATCAAGACTCCACCTGCCTCTTCAAGAAGGTATTATCGCGTTCTTTATTATTTTGTCTTTATCGCTTGACCCTCTACTAGTGTTTTGATGTGGCATATGTCTTGAGTTTAGGAAACGCAGAGCTCAACGGAGTCCACATCCAATCCCAGCTACTGTGCTTGACCTCGAACAAGATGAAACTCCCGGAAAGGGTCAGTATCTCCTCTGCATTACCTTTAACTATTCATCAATTCTATTCACGTTTTCTTCGTTATTAAAATGAATTCTGTTCTTGGACAGATATTGCCAAAAAGAAGAAAGAAAACAGAACCAGTGCTAACGAAGTGGAAGAGAATAAATTGACGCAGCAGACCTCTAGTTCTTCTTCTTCTTCATCTCCTTCAGGATCTGCTCTTCCCTGCATTGATAAACTCAGGGAGGAGCTTTCCTGCGCTGTAAGAGCGCTAATTTTTTAGTGAAGATCTCGTTTTAATTTCAATTTCTTCTTCTATCTTCCCGATTCGACGTGCTGATATTATTTCCTTTACTTTTCCAGATTTGCTTGGAGATATGCTTTGAACCAAGCACTACACCTTGTGGGCACAGGTACATCTCCAATTCCATAGTTTGACTTGATTATTCAAGATCGTGGTAGACTTCGTTGCAAGCTTAATTTTTTTTCTAAGGCTTATTCATTCGTAGTTTGGTACGAGGAGTGGACTTCGTTTTATCTTTTTTTCTTAATTCAGCATCTGCCATCGTGTAGCTTTTGTAGAAAATGCCTTCGATCTGCAGCGGATAAATGTGGAAGAAAGTGCCCAAAATGCAGACAACTGATAAGGTAATCTGGAAGCTTATAATTTGTGGAAGGAATAAGCCAGTCTTGATATGATATTTATACTAGCACAAGCTTATTACCATTTCTTCTGGGAATTTCAGTAATGGACGATCGTGCACCGTGAACACAGTTCTCTGGAATACAATACGGCTCCTTTTCCCCAAGGAAGTGGAAGCAAGGAAAGCAGCAGGTGCCTTGAATGTTCGGGAAGCCCAGCGGGGCACGACTCCAGAAACAGCATTCTATGATAGTCTCAGGAACCGAAGCACACGAACATCTGAGGCACCGAGCAGAGGCACAACTAGTTTGAGGAGAAGAGGTGTCACGAGAATTCAAGACGAGGATGAAGATGCTGCATTGGCAAGAAGGTTGCAGAGGGAGGAAAGTTGGGTGGTTCAGAATAATAATTCAAGCAATCAGACTCCGTCATCGTCGTCTTCAAGAGGGAGGTCAAGGAGAAGGATAACGAGCCAAGACGAGGATGCTGCTTTGGCTCTGACGTTGCAGAGGGAAGAGTTTATGCAGGCTTTCAGGGGAAGCCAAGGGCCTTCTGACACAAGTGTGTCTATGTCTTCAGCCAGAGCGAATTTGAGGGCCATGGCATCCAGAGCCGTTAATCTTAGAATTAGAGCCCGAAATCCCCTTTGATTATATTAAAAGCTGCGTCAATTCCCATATTTGACTCAGCCAAATTGTTCATTAACATTGCTGCTGAATATGATGTTTGACGTTAAATAGCTGTCTAACGCCGCAATATTATTTCTTTGATAAAGATTTGAACAGGACTTCAGTCTTTTTTTTTTTTTTTTTTCAAAGCAAAAGCACGGAAAATTTGATTGGTGATATAAATCTAGTTATGACGCGGAAAATCTGATTGGTGATAAAAGCATCGAAGTTTTACATTTTGAAAATGATATGACAATTATTTTAATTGTTAAAGCACCTGTTACTTGTAAAGAGCACAAGTGTTTAACAATTTAAAATTTTCATTGCAAAAATTACTAGATGGTGTTCTTTTTGGATTGAATGTCTGTGTAATTATAGCTGAAAAGAGTTAACGATATTTAATTAACATACCTTTTGTTAGGCTATTGCTTGCATATGAATTTAGTATCCGTCGCAATAAAAAAAGGCTGTTGGAATTTCTTGTACTGCCAAAAAAAAATTAAGGGAGAATTTAATGTAACCCACACCAAAAAAATTAATTATTACAACTAAGGTCGTTGACAAACTAGGACCATTGACAATAGTTGTTAATGCTTGTCCAGCATTTAGTTGTTAATAAATTTTATAATAATTAAAATTTTTTTTTGTAAGTCTTTGATATAATTCTCTTAAAAATTAGCTATATAAACTACGAATAAACTGAAGATATATATTTGGTGAGAGAAATACTAACTATATCAATTTATCGGAGTTACCAAAGGGTTTCCAGCTCAGTGATGATTGGGGCTGAGCTTGATAGGGCAGGCTACGATTTGATCCCCACAGGGCCACTTGGGAGGGAGCTAGAAGCTAGCCACCCAAAACTGTTCCCCAAATTCGGATCAGTCAGCCCGAAGGGTTGGATACCGGGTGAATTATTTCAAAAAAAAAATTATCGGAGTTGGCTTCCCTCCTTCAAGGAAGCCCTCCTCCACACCTCCGTTGAGGAGGTGCGAAATCTGAATTGTTCAGATTATTGGGCAATTCAAATTTAATGTTTTTTATTTCAAATTTTTTTAATAAATTTGTTTATTTGTCTATACAATTTAAATTTAATATAAATAGTCTATATTTAATATCAACTATTTTATAAATTAATTTTTTAAATGTATTTAATATCAAAAGTTTTAATAAATTTGTTCACCTATTTGTACAGTTCATATTTATTATAAATATTTATATTTAATATTAAATATTTTATAAATTGACTTGTTAGATATACTTGAAAATTTTTAATAAACTTATTCATCTGTATAATTTAAATTTAATATAAATGATTTATATTTAACGTCTTTGAGAATTGCGAAACCACATTCAAGTGCCACCTAACAAAGTTAACCTCGAGTAAGTTAAGTCTTCCGAATTTGCTGAATTACTGAGAGATCCCAAGGGACATGTGTTATTTTTAACATGGAAAAGACAAAATTACCCCTCAAATAATAAAAGACAAAATTTACTGACAGATCCCAATGAAAAAACTCGTCAAATTACCCTCAAAAGTGATCTCATCCTCGCGGCCTCGCCAAACCAAAAACTCATCGTCGAATTGCGTTGCGAATTCGGTGCTCATCATCCAGGCAGTGTTTGGATTAATATGGAGAAATCCTAGGTATTCTAAATTTCGGATTCATCTTCCTCCCCAAAGCGAAGGCAACAGAGTGTTCGAATTAGAGATCTGCAACAATCCTCTGCCATTTGCGAAGTCCGTGCAGGTCCGAGCGGTGATAGAGGTTTGAGCTCCAATAATGCACCATTTATGACATCTGAAGTGGTCCGAGCGGCGATAGCGGTTTCCCATTTTGATATTTTTTTTCACTCAATTTAACATTGATTGCTCAAAAGAATTATTAAACAAGCTAATCGTCTCTTATTCCGTGTCTTGATCCACTGAGAGTACAAGTTCATTGTAATGGGTTTCTAAAATTCAGCTCTACACTATGCAGAAAAATGGGTTACAACAACAGCTAGACTGATGAGATCTCTTCCATGAATTTATCTATCGTATGAATCAGTATTGACAGATATCTTGGAATAATACCCAGTCCTCATGCAAATCCGAAACCGCAAACCCCATTCTGAATGACCTCCCTTTGAATCACAATGAACAATTGCACGCCGAAGAGATTTTCAATGACATTCCTTGAACCTCAATGATCCAATCAGTTTACTTCCCTGCTGGCCATAATCCTACCGTTATATCTTCTAATACACAAGCGAAATAATTGGAAGAAGAAGATGCAAAAAGGGGAAATGTGTTTGTTGGAACAAGAGTTGCTGCCTTCATTTTCTGTTGTCAGATAACGGGAAATTTGATAATTAGACAATATAAATTATTTACATCAAAATCCTCGGAAACTTCATAATTATTTTTCCATTACGTGAGACCTCTGTGTAAATAGAGTCCAATAGTAATAGTAATTTTCCTTTAAGAATGCGGTGATGAAAATAAAAATTATAAAATAGCGTTCCATGAATGTGACAATTTGTCCAAACGTGTAGATTAAAAAAAAAAAAAAACACCTTCCATAAATTTTAGATTGAAAATCATTATTTTTAATGATCATAATTATCAATAGAGTTTGAAGAAAATTATTTTCTGTTTCAAGGAATAATATTAAATTACTTAAAAAATATTTTTTTAAAAAATCTAATCTAGTATATCTATTTTTTATGAGTCCCTGATTTTCAGGAGGAAGAAACAGGGCCATCGTCATCTCATGGACTCGCACAAGAGAGCGACCCTACAAACATGGGCTGGGCTTGAATGAATTGTAGCTCCAAGGCCACTATTGGCCCAAGGTTTCTAGACATATTTGAGACATTTCTTTTAAATATTAATAAAACATTTTTAAACATTGACATTTTAAGTTTATTTTTTTAAATAATAATATTTGACATAAAAAATAATTATTTAAAACTAACAGTATTAAAGTTAGAAGAAATAAAAAAATACTTTATCAAATTAAAAAATCGGATACTTTATATAAAGTTAAATGATTAAAGATATATTTTTAATTTTTTCTTAACATTTATTTTGTCATAATATAGGCAGTGTTCCTGAAAATAATAAGGCGGCGAATTTTTACGTCAATCCGGTAGCCACATTATATTTCTTACACTTTACGTTTACACACTTAAAAAGTTATAATACAACACCGAAAACGACACTACTTGCACTTGATTAGCCGCTTTCCACGCAGACCTACTCGCAAGGAAACTCCCCCCCCCCCCCCTTTCTCAATACCATGATCTCTTTCTATGGAAATTTCTTCCACAAAGTTGAACGAAACAAAGCGATTTTTGGCATCTCAACACATGTTGTATCAGAGTCGGCAGAGACGTCACTTAAGTAATATGATCCAGATGAGGAGGAGGACGACAATCAATGAGCTGATCAAAACCTGAGACTTGAGAACTGTATTGAGTTACAAAGGTGGCCACCCAGACCCTCAAAGTTCTTCCAATATTGAGACCTGCAAGCCTGAACTGGCTTGGTGCACGGCCATGCCTGATCACCATAGATAAAGGGCCTTCTTCCTCCATCTCATCGCTGTGTGAGAGAGGAGGATCCTCTATCTATGACTATCAGCATCAAGCCGCCAAATGATTCCCCTACTGGGAAAGAAATTGCTGCGGGTTATTACCTCAAGATTTGTGATAATAGCCCCGAGGCTATCATGTTCATGCCCTCGCCTATTTATAATAGATCCTCGGAAAGAAAATGGGGGGCCCCTTGGTCTTCGGTACGACAGCCACATCGGGCCGACCAAAAACAAAGCATACGATGTCAGGAACCCTAGGCTTTGATTTTGGCTGATTTATTCACCAAATTTGTTATATCCTCCTTGGTCTTCTCAACATGTTAACTTCTATGCAAGTAGTCTCTTTCACTTCGAGCTGTCCAAGAATCAACACCCCATTGAAAATCTTGTTTCTTGCAGGGTTTCATTACTCTCTGACCTCAATCCATTTATATTTTCAAGTCCCCGCAAGGTTCATCGCCACTTGCAAGAGAAAAACCTGAAGAATTCTGAGGGTCAGTGCGGTCCATTAATGAATAGCACAAGCTACAGCAGTGCACTTGTCTTTACAGACTAGTATAATATACATCTCATTAAATTTCATATATTTTCATGAAAAGTATTACATCATGACCCACAAGAGGAGGAGAAAAAATGGCAGAGCGAACGTCCAAATGGGGAGGTGCACGAGGTTAATGCATCTTAGGCTCAACTAATCCTACTTACAAAGAACTCTACATGTTTACAAAAAAAAAAAAAAATAGAACTCAGGCGGAGAGCAACCTCATCAGGACAGCAAAACTCAAGTATATCACAAAACGCCAGGTAGTAGCAGCAAGAGAGTGATCCGAAGCTGACATAGAAGACAGGTACCTAAAGGCTAATATGAGAATTCATGTCCCCTAAGTGAAATATATTTCTTAACCCAGATGGCAATGTCCTCTGCACAAACCTGAGCCTGAGTGCTTTTTAGAAGTATGTCGAGCGTTGCAAATTCATGCACTGCATCCTTGTATTCAAGAACAGGTGCATCGACATTTACCTTCCGGAGCTCCTCTGAGTAAGCAATGGCACGATCCCTCATCCAGTCATGTTCTGCAACCACTGTCAATGTCGGAGGCATAAGTTTAAGAGGAGGCCCCCGGTTTGGAACCAGGGGATTAGCAGCCGGGTGATCCAGGCTAAATTCTTCCTCGGGCAGGAATAGTTTCCATGCAAGCATACACATAGACTTGTCATAAAAGTAGGAGTTGGCCAACTTTATTTCCGAATGAGTAGGTACACTTCCTATAAAGAAGGGATACATTAGGACTTGTGCCACCACCTTGACAGGGTCCAGAAACTTGCCTGCTTCCACAGCTTTTCGAGCTACATAGTCTGCAATATTTGAACCACAACTGACCCCGAGAAGAACGCACCTGTTTCAACACGAATATAGAGAAAGGTTAAAAACATAATGAGGACTGGCGTCCAACCATGAGAGAATGAAGCATGACAAGAAGAGATCAAGAAATTAAAGGGCTTATCCATAGAAATTTTCAAACAAATACCCCTTTTGGAGAGGCATAACGTTGCACAAGTAATTGCTACTTAATCCACCATGCCCGCCAAAGGTAACAAATAAAATCTTTCATGAACTCTCGTATAATACATCAAGCGGAAAACGAAAACACCTTAAGCTTAATTCAAATCACGTTAAAGCAAATTACATGCTCCAAGAGATAGCCATGCATCTAGTGAAAAGCAAGTACAGCAAACTTCCTGTGGATTAAATTGTTTAGGGGATATAGCCAAAGTTAACCCAATTTCATAGCCAGGCTTCATGATACAAAGATTTGGATCATTAAAGGAACACGCCCAAGAAATAAGTCCAGTACGAAAGAGAAAGTTGAGGTAGGTTTGAGGAGATGCAACCAAAAAGATTACATAAAATATGAGATACTTTATAAAAATTGCTTCAGTCGGAAAAAAAAAAAAAAAAAAGATTTCAGAGTCGTCTATGATTATTAGACATACATTAAGTTGAGATACAATGTTAAGGTGAAGACGAGCAAGATAATTTAAGTATGAGATCAAGCAAGATAAAATTACATATAGAAAAGGCTAAAGTAAATCAGATCCAAAAGAATAGGACTAAAAAGTGGTCAGTGAGTGGCATTCTATTGGCCTCCAGCACCATATAATCTATCCCGTATAGCTTTCCCTTCTTTTAACTGAAGTTTTTAGTCTGACATCTAAGCCCCTCCTAGAAATTGGATTAAACTAGCATAAGCTAGAATGCAGATAAAATCTTGTACTTTTCAAATATGTCCTCCAATTAGAAAAATGCCAAAGGGATGCCATTGAAGTACATGAATGCCAATGAGATGTCCTGAAAGGAACAGGAAAAACAAAAAGGCTGGGACAAAGAGCAAAGGGGGAAAGCTGAAATTTTATTCCTGATGGACCAAACTGTAATTTCAGCGCCACAAGTTCTTCATTTTGTAACAGAATATCTTCTCATTTCCAAATCCAATATCACATTCCACCACTGCTTTATCATGTTCTTCAATTCTTCTCCGTTTTTTCAACATTTAGCTATTTTGCTAGCTGAAGTTACAATAAGGGCAAGCCTAAATTCCAAAGTGATAGAAATAATAAATCGCCTAAATTCCAAAGTGATAGAAATAATAAATCACTCATCAGACATAATCTCTTCAGAAAAGATGGAAAGAGAAACATGCTGTTTCCACAGATAGTAAAAGAGACATAAATTTCCGGCTTAACAGAAAGGATAGGATTGGAGAGAATTTTTTAGCATTAGTAGCCAAAGAGAAGACTTTAGATTTAAAGTAGTTCAGTTCAACCCAAACTAAATTATTCAATAAAAATGAAGGGGGGAAAAGGCAGATAGCTAGATGAAATTTCAGAATCACATTGATTAAGCACCATTAATTCATTAGAACTTAGAACAGACAACAAATTTCACTATGTCAGACAGAGTTTTCTCTCTTTAAACACGGAGTATCCCTAGATCAGTACATGAACCAGATCTGTGTTCTTAACATGAACCGCCCTAAGGCCTAGAGGCCAAGCTACATATTTTTGCTCCAAATCTGAAGCGTCTTCAAAATGCAAAGTGCTGTGTATTTAAAACAATGTGCAAGGATAAATGTCATATCATAGAGCTAGTTGTTTAAACTTCTATATCAACTTAAACTTGCGGCCGCTAAGCTCAACTGAGGAGCAATGCTTGTCGCCCACTTATATTAAATAACTCTACAGCCGAATAGGTCATCTATAATCACATTACAGTCTGAAATGCTTTATTGAATTAGTCTAGAGCCAGCATGATCAGAATATAATTAATAAAATCACAAAGAGAGACAAGTTAAAACCTTGATGGATCACCATGAGCGGCCAACCATGGTTCAACCGCTGAAGCTCCAAACGTGTCCACAATATGACTATGGGTATCTGATTTTCTGAGCTCAGTCCCATCACCCCGTCCAATCCCCATCGACTTGTTATATTCAGCTAAGTTCGCCTGCTTTGCCAACCAATTCAATGCCTTCATTCCGTCCTCAAAAGCTGCCGGATAACGATTTTCAGGAGCGAGTCTGTACCCAACAGAAATAAGGATCACATCGCAGAGTTTTGCAATTCGACGACAGAAATAATCGTTTGTGACAGAATCGTTGCTTCCACTAACCCAACCACCACCATGAAACTGCAACATTACCGGCAATTTCCGACGATTATTTAGTACCGGCGAGTAACCTCTGTACACCCCCCCGCCGGCCAAATTTGAACCTTCCACACCATTGCTTTTACCATGATTATTAGGCCGCAAGGGATGGGAATCTGAACTGCGATTCGTCGTATCAACTTGGAAAGATCGAGATTCAAGATCGGATTTCCCATAGCTATGTCTAGGCTGTCTGGGTAGGACTGCAGCATCTGATTCTGGGGACCTTAGTGCAGTTTCGGGAAGGAAGATTCTTATAGTAAGAGATGTGAAGGGGTCGATATGGATGTCCTTGGTGGCAACACCGTCGGTGAAGGAAGGATTGGAGGGGGCAACGGATTCATCGGGTCGTGAGGTGACCCCGAACGGGTCCGCTTCATCGGGCGAAGCTTGAATCCGGTTCTGCAACCGCTGCTTCAAGAGGAACTTGAAGAACACGCTGTAGAGCTTCACAGCTACACTTGGCATTTCCCCACTCTCACAACCTGAACTCAATTCGCATTCAAAAACTCTTCCCTTTTTCCCCCGTACTAAATTGTGTTCTGTTTTGCAGGCACAAGAAATGAAGACCACTTTGGAGTCAGAACATGGAGATAAAAAGGTAGGATCTGATTTAGGCTGATAAAAAGGGTTAGGGTTCTCGAAACCCGAAATTGCTCCAGTGGTAGGGTGTGATGAGGTGAGATGGGAAAGACAGAGAGGAGGGAGAAGGGAGGCGGAGAGAGAAGGTTTTGGTTGAGCTGTGGCCTGTGGGTGACGGTGATGGACAGAGGACATACATGCACCCTTTAGTTTTGCATTTTAAACTTTTTTCGAAATTTTTTCGTGAATAATTCTTTTTTATGTTTTTTGGGGTAATAAAGAATAATTCAATTTATGGCTACATTTTAAATTGTTGAATGTGCTGGGGGGGATACATGTGGCATGTGGCGGCCAGAGAGGGGGCTATGATCTGCTGCGTTAAAAACATGCGTGCACCTGCGGCGGAGGTTTGCGGTACCTGTCGTACAGGGCGGTTCGCTGTAGCTGTGGTCTGTGGGGTTACGCGAAATCCTGTTCCTGGAGGCACGTGAACGTGACTCTGCGACTCCCGGGCTTTGAGAATTGAGATCATATCATACCGTACGAGCAACAAGTCGGCGTCGGGAATCGTGTGAAAGAACATTGATTAATAAGACAATTTCATTAACACTAATCACGTTCTGGAATCTCCCATAATTGGAGCTTCATCGATTGGAAGTCGTGCTTGATAATTTCTTACTATGCCTCATCCAAGAATCACTTGCTATTTTAACTCGTCAAAATTTAAACAAATATAGTTATATTATCGATAATGCCAAAAGAAAGAATTTTTAATTTACCATTCTTTTTAAATTCACTATCATTAAAACAAATTAATTTTATCCTAAATTATAAGATAATTTAAAATGAAATTATTCATATAAAAAAATTCAATAATAACACTTTCTTTTTTTGGCCAAATAATAATAACGCTTTATAACTGTACTTTTTTAAAACAGAAATATAAATTTTAAAAAATCTGTTTTATTTAATGTAATTTTAAATCTATAATCATTTTAATTGAAGGTGAATATTAAAAAATATCATTAATAAAACATTAATTTTATTAAATTATTTTATATTTTGACCAATTAAATACCTTTAAAATTATTTTATAATTTAAGATATGAGAGTGCATTGTTCCTCATGTATAATATTTTACATTACTCATGGTAAATTGCGAAATGGTAAGATTAAAATAATATAATTAATACTCCATTTTTTATACAAGTGAGTCATAAAAAAATTATCCATTCTTCTAACAAATAATTTATATAGGATGGGAGAGAGTATGTGTTATTGTAATTTAACAGATTTTTTTCACAGAGCAGTCAAAAATTGAGATATTAGAACTACCTCGTAAGTTATTTGAAAGAAGGATCGTTTCAACCGCCAAATGCAGACCGCAAATATTGCAACCTGGGAGCTGGGAATGGTGAATGGTCAAACTGGGTCTTACGAGGTCCATGAGAGCTTTCCACCATTTTACGTATTGACGGTTATGCAAAGATTGCCGAATCAAATTTGACTCCTTAATCAATTACGTACTTCTTAATTTTTTTTATTACATTTGCAACATTATTCCATCATCGTCCCGATTAATTTGATTGGTTTTTAAAGGTAATTTTCCAAGGTGGCTGCCGTGTCTTCCCACACGGATGATATCACACCTTGAATCATCTTCCGCCCCTTTCTCATATACTGCCATCCCGGTGACCAGAGAAAGCTACGTGTTTTCATATATCATTTAATTTAATTCATAATTCTGAATGGTCATATTTGCATTTACAGATATCATTTAATTAACATTTCGGAGTTCAGAATGACGGCTCTTGCACTTAATACAAATCCTAAATATTTTTGCCACCATTTTTGGTCTATCAATGACCTGCTAATTGGCACACACGTGGCAGTTGGTAAACTCGGATAATGAGCTGGTGAGGGAAAGTCAAAGATGGAAGAGGCAAACAAAATTTAAGGGACCTTCTATGCCTTTACGAGACGGTGGTCTTTTTCGATCACAAGGCACCTTTCTATAGAATACGGTATCTTATAAAACATTTAAATACAATTACTACCAAGTGCCAACTATTCGATCTTCTTTAATATACTCGCCCCTTATGAGACATGATTATCTAATTCACAAGTATTAAAAAAAAAAAAGAGTTAATGTTTAACCGTTTAATATTAATTTTCTAATTTATCCAATATTAAAGCAATGCGAACAATAAACACTTTCATTAGCTGGAAATAATGATCCAGTTTTAACCTTTTGTTGGGAACAAAACTAGTTAAATGAAGTTTACTATTTATCTTCAATATCTCAACCAGGGAGTCGCAGGACGCCCGTAGCATTCCTTTTTCTAAAATGCTATGAATTGATTCCCCCCATCAGCATCCTCATGCTCAAAGGATGACACTGAAAGCTCAGACCGTCATCTGTGAGGAAAATGCTGCTTAAGATGGTACTATATATAAAATGTCACCCCACAAGAAAACGGCGAAACAACCCATACCTGACACTAAAACAATGGCTAGTTCTATACAGATACGATTTTATAGGCCATTTTGCGATTCTGAAAAGCATCAAGCTGAAAAGGCTTTACAAAGCAAATTCCCTGGTAGACCCGGGGCTAAACCACCCAATTTTGTCCACCCAATGCCATATATACACACCAAATGCTTGTTATCTGAGGTGAGAGAATGGATCCGAAGGGAGCTATTTTACAAATAAAATGGAGCCATTTTGCTAAGCCCCATCCTTGACCTTGCAACTTAAATGTATATGACCAAGAAAACCAACCATGAGCTGCTTTAAATGTCATTCCTTAGATTCTCATGCTCTGCAAGATCAAAAATCAAGGAACAGCTGGACTGAAAGAAAGCTCTATTTGCCTAGCCAGATGGTGCACGCGAGGCATTTCTTGGCGAAACTAGAACTGGCTCATTGCTAGCAGCTTTCATGGCTGCTATCTCTTCCAACCTTTTCCATTTAGCCTCTTGCTTTAACTTAATATCTTTCTCTTGTGCTTCATCTTCCTCAAACTTGAGCAGGCACTCCTCATAGAGCTCTGGATCCACGTCAAAGAAGATCTTGCGGACATTTATTGTTAAGCTCTGGACAGCCTTGTTCCAGTGGTTTTGTGCATTTTTCTCCAGAGCAGGCAACAGTAAGGGAAGTATGATCTTGCGATTCTGCTTGATTAAGTTCTCAATATGATCATTATTCCACAAGAACAAAGCCCTCTCAGCTACCTGAAAATGAACAAGCAATCAGATTAGAGACAGAACATGAGAGAGATGGCCAAAGGCTATCTTTACGATTATTGCTTTCGTCACGAATTTGACAAAATTTCATAGAAAGCACTGGTACAATATGGTTGACATTACAAATACAAAATGGAACAACGAATAAGAACTGACATATATGTTTTCCACTGCCCAAAAGAACAAGAACAAAAAAGGACACGAATCAGATTATATATATTCTGATAAATAGAAGAGGTCGCTGGCAACTGTACAAGGTTATCGGTCCCATACTCTGAACTTCCTCCTCCTTCTTGAACAAATTCCATTTACTTGATATGATAAATAATTTATTCATAAGCATGAAACCTTCAATTATGGGCAGTATATCTTAAGAAACAAATTTGGTTGCAGTTATTAGAAAATTCCACGCTGTCCTGCTTGTCATATTACAACAGACCCAAAAAAAAAAAAAAATCAAGTGTCAGACAATGAAAACTCAGGTCGAAAATCTTCAACAATTGACAGCCGATAAAGTTCCCATATAGGTGAGTCCCAGATGACACCCAGACAATTGATGATGTGTATAATCACTTCCGTAACAGATGATCTAAATGACCATATGAATGGTACGGTGGTATATGGTATCCGAAAGCTACTAACTAGTCAAAGCAACAATCAACACCATAAATTTGTCCACTCATTTCTAAATATCAATTAGCAAAATGATAACTATGAGAAGACCACAAAACATTGAAATCAGCACAGAATGTCCAGCTTGACAATATCCCACATAAGCTTTTGAAAGTAAGTTTCTCAGAAATATAAACAGCAAAATTTGAATACACAAGAATTTAAGAAACAGGAATTTAAGAAAAAATGAGAAGATAACACTGGTTCTAGTATTGGTAGCACTAGTCCAAATCTCAAATAATTTTTTGTGGGACAGTAGTTTTATCTTTGGAGGCAAATGCACTATGATTAAATATTTTAAACAAAATGAAAGTATTCTTTGATATGAAAAATGGTCTACAGCAAATTCCTTCCACCGTAGGTGAAAAATCAAGCTTAAAAAGCAAACATTTTTCTTTAACGAGAATTTATCACAGGGGAAGCAAAAGAGGAAGAGAAAGCCGATGAAGCTAGGAAGTAAGATTAACAAACCTGGAAATGCGAACTGCTCAAACAACGTCTTAATTGGTGGAACAAGGGAACCATGCATCTCTGAAACTCCGCAGGTTGAGTGGCTTCCAAGACTTCCTCCAGTTCACCTAAAAACATAACCTCCTTAGAACTATTTGTAATGGGCCAATATTTTAGCAAACCCCGTATAACAGTATCAGCAAGCTTGCAGTCTTTTTCCACAAATTGTGTAATGCAGTAAGATAACTGCTGATGGTACAGAGGCATGCATTTTGGTTTATGAAGAGGAATAAGCACTCGCACAAGAAAGAGCTTGTGCTCTTCTTTCAGTGGCAAAGCAAAGCCATTGATTATACTTCCCAAAATCTCCAACAGTTCTGCAATCCCATTATGCTTCTCAGTTTCAAAAATAAACCGATAAAATATATTGTTGATTGCTTTCCTGATAAATGGGCGGTGCACCATAAATTTCCCATATATGCGATGAAGAACTGTCTTCAAGTAGTCCCGCTCTCTGGAGTCTTCTGAATCAAAAAGATCCAACAGTCTAAGGACAAATGAATGATCAATGTACCTTTTTGCTAACTTTGCGTCAGTCTCAGGTGATGCAACAAACCTTAGAAGGAATTCATACACGATTTGCAATTGAGGCCATGCAGGGTCCATTGAAGGCTCTTCCTCTTCCAAATCAAAGGCTTCTAGAACTTTGTTTTGACAAGGGGGAGAAGTGAGTTTGCGGAACAAGTTTGTGGACACCATTTTTACAATTTCTTGCATCATGTTTTCAGTAAATTTGCCATTAGACGCGGAAATGTAATCCACAAGCTCTACTAATGTCTGTCGCTTAACGTCTTTTTCTTTGAGGTTCTTCATTGGGTCAGTGTCAAAAACAACACAACACATTTGCAGCTTTCTGATAAACAAGTTCTGCTTCTCTGAGTTTGGAACATCTCTGAAACTTGGCAAGGCTTCATAAGAAGAAGCAGACAAACTCCCGTTAAGCTTTGAATTCACAGCTACAAAGAACTTGTCACCATGATTTAGTCCAAGACTTGAAAAAGAATTAAGGCCTGAAATATATGACGCAGTTGAATTCCCAGAATGGTAATTCGCTAAATCACTGCTTCTTGCATTGGTAGAAGCAGTTGAAGAGGCTGTCAACGTTCCCCCTCCTCGATTTTCCACTGATTTGGAGGGCTTACGTGGCAGCCTATTTAATATCTGTTTGATCATAACTTCCAGTTGGCTCCACAAAAGATTAATGTCATGCACTTCAGAAGAAACTACTAAATGAAACTCGTTCCAGGATTCAGAAAAGCATCAAACCCAAGTCCCAAGATGCAGATGCGCCAGGATACAACAATGCATTAGCTAAGTTGGAGGAAGAGCCAGGAAGTTAATGAAACATAACGTCCAGAAGCTTTCTATCTCCATCATCACGAGACAATGATGTTTTCTTTATTCATCAAAACATGAGATTTCAAATGGGAGAAGCCATGAACAGAGTCGTCCAAGCAGCTTCGTCTGGTGACAAATCTGGAATCCAAAGACATGCCAAGCTCAGAATTACACCACATGCCCAAAACTAAGATAAAAGTCCTTTGAAAGATTTTTCCTGTTTAAAACGAGCAAATTCAAATGACCTTGATGTCTCTATACATCTACAGTAAGTAGAGGAAACCAAAAAGAACCAAAAATAAAGAGTAAGCAGAGGAAAACGAAGAACAGTTACCTCATATTTCCATCTTCCTTCTTTTTGAAGAGTTAGAAGCAAATACAGCTGGATGGCAGTCACAAGATCTGGTTCTGATCTACAAAACCCAAATAGCAGCCGCTGAAACTGTACCCTACAAAGCTTTGAAAAATGAATAAAAGTAAAGATAGAACAACGTTGATTATCCATTTTTCAAAAAATAAGACGGGTGCGGAATATGAAAAAGTAGAAAGCGAAGCGGGAAAAGCAGAGGAATTTTAAGAATGAAGAAGGTTAAGCCATACTAACAAGAATGATTAGATTTCAGCCACTCAATCTGAGAGCGATTGCCTTCTGGTGGAAATAGAAATAAAAAGGATAAGGAACAGCAATCTCTAGGTGAAGTGGTAGTAGTTGCGATTACAGTTTTGTTAGCCAAATTACGTTGTTGCCGCCGGTATCGCCTTTTTTCATCTTCCTTCCCACTTTCCCTTTTAACTTTCCTCCTCAGTATAATTCAAGCCTCAAAACTCTTCTAAATATATATATATATATATATATATATATATTATAATATAATTTCCGTTGCTTAACTTCATGTGTATGTAGTTTTATTTCTCAAACAGTCAAACCCAGCAACAAAAACACCCTTAAAAACCAACATCAATATAGTACAATGAGTAGAAGCATATCATGAAACTTGAAACCCGAAAGGTCAGGGAAAGAGTCTGGGATGTGTGTGACACGCGCCATGTAGGTGAGTGAGAGTGTGACACTAGGGTTCGTCCAACCAGAGAGAATGATGCGTCGCCGTTCGAAGATGAATATTGGAAAGAGAGGAGCTCTCTTTAAGCACAGTCTTCCTTTCCGATAAATTAAAGAAGATGCCACTCGCTTTGGGTAACAGCCATCAGTGGGCCACTCGCTCGCTGGGTCATCGATGTGATTGTGTGACAATTTTTGAGTGCTTCAAACTCAACATCAATATCATGGACATGGAGGGTGGGCCTCGGAGTATACATACCCTCGCTTTCGACATGATAAGATATCAACCCTCGTAAGATATATCATTAGAGACATGAATTCTAACTTCCCATAATTGCAGTGCAATGCTTTCCAGCAAAGTATAACAGTAAATCATCCTAAGGCAATGCTTTGAGATTTTTTTTCTGTTTTGCCCCCTTTTAATCAAGGAGGTTTTGACATTTTTCTTAAGCCCGAAAATTTCTTAGATGAAATGGCCACAACGAAAGATGGTCGACGATGATTGATATTTGATGCAAATGAGGCATGTGACTATGATGCAAAACCCGGAAACATGGGGCGAGATTTGTTCTCTGTTTGCTTGAGATAGTCGTAACCTTCGTCAAGAGGCTTACATGATAACTTTGTCCTCACATCATGAGTAGTGACTAGTAACAGGATAAAATGACCATATACCTGGATTCCTTAAAACAGCATGACTATGTTCCAACAACAAGAGCACGCCAGGATCTAACTTCAGCGTCAGTATAAAACAAAGCATCACAACAAAATATCAGTCCCATTGCCTTCCATGTTACAAGAACAAAATTCCGGGTATAGTTGGAGTCATATTAAGTTTATCTATTTTAAACCAAGTTTTTTAGTTGATGGAGTAAAATTAGATGAAAGAACCGTACTAATCTGTTCAGTATACACATCAGTATAACAACTAAATTGTCCAGCAGCCAAAATCCTAGCATCATTCAAAGTTATATTAGCTGTAATTAAGAACACGAGGGAGCATTGTCCTCTTACCAGACACTATATAAGATAAGATGCAATTTTTTAATTCTTGATATGTCACCAAGAGACAATGCCTAACTCATACACAAGTGTAAGATACATTGGTCAGAGTCCAAGAATTAATCACGGTTAGCTAATTTGAAGCAAAAACACAACCAAGCTATGAATTCATGTCACCATGTATTCCACCGCTCCTCTTTGGTTGTCACAGTTTTTAGCGGAGGAAACCAAGGAGGACAATTCAAGTCCAAACAACAATTACTTGGTCAAAGCCAACTTCACCTTCCAAAACCCAGGTCGGACTCTTATTTTCAACATGCGATCCAAATTTAGCTATCAAAACACAGGTGCCAGAGTTCCCTCCAAGCAGAAGGACAACCGATGAGCATAGAGAATGGTAAATACATACCAAACCAAGAAAAGAAATTACACACGCATCGTGTCATTAAAGTTGAAGGAGGTGATGTCCCAACAAAAAGTATGAAGAGCAACCCACCACAGCAATCATGTCGTTTCCCAATCATGTTCAGGGGTTAGCCAAATTATCATTTCAGTGCTCCATCAAGGCTGTTTCAGTCTCAGATAGTGGAGCTGCAGCAAACAGGATTCCCTCATTAACTTGCTGACATGAAAAAGAATAAACCCCCCCCCCCAAAAAAAAAAAGAGGCTTAAAAGTAGCTGAGCTAACGAGTTTCTAGGAATCATGCATAAAAAATGTCTCAGTCAAACATGCTTGATCCAGAGTATGAAACAACTTTTGTTGGTGTATAAAGAAGAGTGAGAGACAGCAATGAGAAAAGGAAAAACTTCAAATTGCATTCCCAGTCCTAAAGAATTGGGTCAAAAAGTCTGCATCTTAATTCCTACAAACCTTTTACAAAAGCCCTAGTTCAATACCCAAAGAAAGAGGTTCCTCTGAAGTTGGATAAACGAATCCTCACCCCACCCTACTTGGCCTCACATTATATCTCAGACTAGTTAACCATATATCACAATGACAAAAGATGAGCAAAAAAACTAAGATAATAGGTTGCCACAATCAGAACAGTTTGTTGTAAACTCAACATACCCAGCAAGTCCTCGAATGAATCTGCCAGAAGCGATGAATCCATTAGAAGAGGCGGTGAGAATACTTGATCTTGAGCATCCTCAAAGTCATACACAGACTGCTGTGCATCAGAAGTTGCATTTGAGCCAGTAAATGAAAGAAACCCATTCACATGGTCATAATCAGAAAGTCGTTCCAATTCATTCAACATATCTGGAAAATCATCCAACGTGCACTCCTCCTGACCATCAGATGTATGACTCTCAAGCAAGGAATCATCCATTTGAGGTAAAAATAATCTTTTACTCCTCAATGAAGTAGCCTTTCTTGAAGCAGCCTTTTTCTCAGCATCTAAATGAGAAAGCCCCGTTTCTGAAAGAGGGGCAAAGAAGTGCTCAGAACTTCCATCAGAATGACTGTCTTGTGATGTTTCTGAATTGCAGGACTGCAACGACAATGCTGCTTCTCTTACTGACCTCTTCAAATTATGGATGCAGAAACTAGCACTGTCTGCAAAACGTACAATGAAAATCAAAACCCATAAATACTGCCATCAGCCAGTTTGTCCAAGACACGGATAAAATTTTCTCTGGAACCCTATAAGTTTCAATAACAATGCACCAGTCAAGCAGCAGAGTAGATGCAGCAAACCTTCTGGTAAAGTCTCTTCTTGATTACTTGAATGAGGATTCAAAGATTTCCCTTCAGAAAGATTCTCAGTTTGGCTGGTCCGAGGAGCTGTACTATGCCTCCTTTGCACATTTCCACCTTTTCCAGAAGTTGGAGTCAAGCTAAACAATTGAGGGAGCTTTAAAGTGGGAGGACTGGCTGACATCTTATCAAGCTGAATATTAGATATTCTTGACGTCACCTCACCAACATCATCAGTGCTGCCATCCTAAATGATGAAAAAAAAAAAAAATCAGATCTCTGATTGTGAAGTAATAGTACTAAAACAACAGGATAAAAGACACCAACCTCCCATATGCATGGCAAGGCTAATACAGACCTCCCTCTTATCTTTAAAATAAAATAAAAGTACAAATTTATACTAAAATAACAACGTTTACATATGTGATATTCTGTTTTAACTCTTAGGACCTAAGTTTCGTATGGTGCACAAAAATAACAGAAATTGCTGCATAATTTTAACCAAATCCAAGAGAAATCAGTAAAGATTGAAGGAAATGAATTATAAATAGTTACCATCCTCACACTACTCTGCGTTTGAACAGGGGATGTTGATTGCCCATGATGTCTGTTTGACGGAGGAAGATTGGAGGCTATGCTGTTCACCTTTTCTGTACATTCTGATATGGACTTCTGTATTGACGGAGCAACTTCCTTCAGTTGGTTAATAAGGACCTGCACGTAAAAAGTGCTTGGAGGTCAGAAATCCAACAAAGATGAATCTTGTGGGGTATAGGCATGACATTCACAAGCCAACTCTACAAAAATACTCTACCCTCCTCCCTGAAGAAAGAGAGAAGATGAGTTGACATTTGAATATATTTATGCTTAAGAACAGAACAAGAAGACAATGATAGGCAAGTAACTCCTCAATAACACAACTACTCTACATGATAGCGGTCATTATGGTAAAAGGGCCCCATCAAAATGCAGAAAACAAATGATACTGAAGCTGCCTGTGGAAGTGCTTCAGCCTTGGAAAAATCTTGTGGTGGTTAAACATTGCTTTAATGCTTAACCTGAAAGCTAGCCAAATGTTGCTGATGCTCTGCAAGAGTTGCTGCTAAAGATTCAGCATGTCCACTTGACCCGCCTTCTTGTGCACTACGCAATATATCTGGACCCTCTCCATCATTTGCTTTTGCCTACAGATAATAGCATAATTTGAAAGATTAAGTAAGATATAAATCAGGTTATATAGATTCAATTGAAAAAAAAAATAAAATAATACTCCCCCTGTTAAAAAATGTAAGGCACTTATTGAAGGGTTTAATGTTAAAAAATGTAAGGATTTTCTAGTGTTTCAAGGTGTAATCATTGTATTTTTTCCCAAAAATGCCCATAATAATAAATAAATTACTTTATATTTATGTTGAAGTAAAACACCTATAAAATAGGAATAAATATAGAAATATGATGTAAGTTTAAAGACAGTAACTACTTTATTAAAAATTAAAATTCGATTAAAAATGTCATATATTTTTTAACGGAGGGAGTATATATTAAGTTTGGCAATGTTTTTCTTGAGTCAAGATAGAGAAGAAAAGAACCGCGACAAAAGAGATGAGAAAATGAAAACAATTACATTCATAAACACAATCACGAAGTACGGGGCTTTATAAGTTGGGTAATCCTGGTTCTAAGAGTTAGAATTAAAAGTTAAAACTAATAAGAAATACTACTTAAAGATAAACTTTTCTATGTGAATATATTCTGTACATATAGCTTTCATAAGTTTTTTTTTTTTTTGTTATTTTGGTGTTATAATGTGATATATTCCATCTTATTGTTAAATGCTAATGAATCTCAAAAAAAAAAAAACAACACAGGAGATCCTAATGTCTCAATCATTTTAAGTGACAACTCAAAGCATGTAACAACTAATTTACCAAAATCCATATTTCTAAGTTAGAAAGAATATCATGAAGTATCTTAAAGTTAGGCCAAATGAAGCATCCCCTCACTCCGCAAAGAAAAAGGAAGCAAGGGTAAGGATCAAAAGAGAAGGCACAAGAAGAACAGGAACAGAAAAGCTTGAAAAGCATACCAAATGAAGTGACTGCTTATGAATACGCTGCAAAGCATGTGTCCATCGCCGTATAACCTCTGCTACATCAACAGTTTGGTGGACTCTTCCAGTTCTATCGTCAACTCTTGTAAGCATCTCATTGCTAAGACGAAATCCTTCATTCTCCTCATTTTCATCCGTACGCACAGCTGGCAAATCCGCAGGCTGACCAGATAATATGTCTGAATAAGGTGCCTGAGAACTCTGATCCATTGCGGCAAGCAAAGATGTCCCAGAGATCCGGTACCTGATATTTATTCCTCAGAAAGTGAGTTCAAGCAAATATGATCTCTATATATTGAACCAACAATACTGCATCACTACATTACCTGTGTTCCCGGTGAGCTATCAAGTCTTCAATAGGCCCTGATGCGAGAACTTCATGTTGACCTGTATAATGATGAATAAAATCAAGATCATCATTACCTTATCTCTTTTTTTTTCCTTTAGCTTTTTTAAAAAGAAGAGAGAAAATATTTAGAGGGAGGAACAAAGATTTTTATAGTGTGGAATGTCATAATAGAAGAAATACCACAAACTAGGTGGAGAAGTATAATTAGTGAATTAGAAATTAAAAGGGAAACATGAACTATATATAACATCCAGTCCACATCAGAACAAAACTAACAAAACTTAACTGCTGTTAGGTGCTTGCTATTAAGAACGATTAGGCCACACATGTCATATTTTTATTAGAGTCCAATAACAAATGCCTCAGGATATTTGCCAAGGTTTTTTTACAGAAAAAATGCACCAAGCTCTGAAGTCAGTCATCTTCTTGAATGAATGGACATGAAACTCTTCGTACCAAATAAGTATATCTATAAGAATTATAGTGAATACAAGAATCAAATCCTTCATGACCAACAGAGCTACACAATATGAAGAAACAGTAAACAATTTGTGAGATAGAGGAAAGACCTTAGGCCCTGTTTATGAGTTTATGAGATAAGTGATCATAAAAAAAGAGATACTTTTAACAGTACATCAACTAGTGACAGCTACATTCAGTACCTTTTTCTTATATGATGAAAAATTGAGGAAGCAAAAATCAGCCAACTAGGGTTCAAAATAATTTGTTTTTATGCTATTTAAAAATTTTAAAAGATCAGTCAGTCCTGTAGCGACAAACAAACACCCAAAAGGTCCACAATTGTTAATTATCCCATCCAGATAAAGACCCAAAAGGGCATACATTACAGAAAACAAAGTGCCATTCCTGAAAACATGTTAGAAAATTACAACAATGCCGCATTCTTGAAGACTTTATAAATGAATATAGAGATGGTATGGTCAATTAGAGTACTACAAAAGCAAGAGGTTTATTCTTCATTCTTACTTTTACGAGCTAATAAAGACTCCCATAGCCGTGTAGCCTTTGAAACTAAATGAGAATTCTGACTTGAAGTGGATACAAGATCATCCCAGTGTTCTCCTTCCAACTTCACTTTATTCCTCAAATCATGAAGTTTCTCCAGTTCTTGTTGCAAATAAGCCTACATCCAGGTTGTGCATTACAACATTTGAGAGAAACATAGAGTGACACATTTTGGTGGGAAAAGGGGAAAAGATATACTATATATGATCCAATTTCAAAAAATAACCTTCAGTAACTGCTTACCTCTTCAGCACATAGGCCACGAAATTCAGCAGTCATTTCATGAGCTAAGTTTGACCACATAGCCTGCCGTTGTACAGCCAATTCTGCATTCTTAAGAAACTTCCTTCTTTCAAGTGCTATTCTAGCCTATTTAAAACAAGGGACATGATTTAGTTCCTCAAGTTCAAGTCAACTGTTTCCAAGAGAAACGATCAAGATAAATAATACATGTTACCACAACTAGATAACCAAGAGTGAAATCACCCAAAAATAATAATAATAATAATTACCATGAGCACTAAAGAGTATACCAGGTAACAACAACAAGCCTTATCCCAGTACAAAATAAAATTCCCTTCTTACACAAACCGTCACATTGAGCAATATGGCAATAGAAGTAAAAGTGAACTAAAAACATGTTTCTTGAAACATTATAGGATATGAGATTCGAAAACAGTTACATCTATAAGAAAATTGTCACAGTGGAAAAGGATGTGAAAGTTTAATTACAAGGCTGCATGCATAGAGTTAGGTTTAGACTCAATCTTTGGATAATTTCTTTTTAATAATTATTAGTGATACCTTTGTAACAGGAAGTAAAGTAGCTGCATGTGAGAATGCTACATCAGTCAATGGAGCAGGCAAAGGGTTAGAAGCTACGTCAGCTGCAAATGTTCGTCTATGAACCTCTCGCAAGGCATGCAAGGAAAGCTGCCACAGAAGTTCAACAAACCTGCACCACCATGTACATCTGAATAACTTGAAAGCTACTCAACAGAAATATAAATTGCAAGCCTCCATGTGCAATATACAACATGAGATTCCCCAGTGGCATTCTAATAGGGATTTGTTTAAATGGAATTTTGTAATTGAAAAAGGTATTCATTACCATCAATTAGTTCAATTTGCGAAGACTTCTCAGTAACTTTCTTAAGTTTCAGAAATAACAACTGTCCACTAAGTTTGTAGACACTATAATGTCGTCTATTCAATGATCATAAAAGTATTTAAAACAATGCCTTGTCTATAAAAATGCATTAAAAACATTATCATCTAAATTTGCTTGTTACCAACAGGCAATGTCCTGCGCATCGTCTAGAAACTACAAACACGTTAACATTTTATAGCAGCTGCAATCAACAAAACATGCGGGCGAATAAAACTCCAACAGAACCAGCAAAAATATACATGTTTCAAGCGGGTATGTTGTAGACTTTTTCCCAGCAATATACAATGCAAATAAAAAAATGAGTATTTCCAAGGTGAGCTTGAAAGAGAGAGAGCAGAAGCATTGACCTTGGTCCACAGCACGTAGCAAGTGAAGAAACTCTTGAATTGCTCCTAGGAAGCGCACCCTGCGACTCGAGCTCGCTAATGATCCCTTGCACAACCTAGTGATAAAACTACACCGCTATTTAAATAAATTCATTTCTAATTTCAAATTCAAAGGGGGAAGAGAAAACGGACCAAAATCCAGGACATAGTGCTCGAGAAATACCAAAGTATGACCAATTGTACTTAAATAGTAATACCTTCCGGAAATCACGCGATTGCGCCGAATCAAAAATTGGCCAAACCTTGTCAAAATCCTGGAGATCCAAAAAGTTACTGTCAGGAGCAAATCACACAAAAATTTAGAAGCATCCGCCAAAACAGGCAAACAAATATAGATATAATGTATATGCACGAATGGTGAAATATGAAGAGTTGACAAAATATCAGAACAGGGAGAGTACTTTAGCGGATTGAACTGGGCCTCTGAGGGAGGAGAGTATGAAGTAGAGGAGCTGTTCACCCAATTTAGGGTTGGAATGGCGGAAGAGTCCGACTCGAGGGGTGCCATTGGAGGCTCCAACTCCGATAATAGCCGGATCCAGACCTAACAGCAAACAGTTAGTGTACATTGCACTCTCTAGCTCTATCTCCCTCTCCTTCTCTCTGTCCATCGTCATCACCCAGCCCGCCCCGCCCCCCTCTCTCTCTCTCTCTGAGATTGTTACAATTTTCTTCCTTTCCGTCCCTTATCTAAGCTTCCTTTTGAATTCTTTCTGATCCTGCTCTATTGTCGATCTTTATTTTCGCTTAATCCATCCCACGGAATGTCTTTCTAGAAAACGCAGGTCAGGGTCCCCTGCGTTTGATATTACGAAATGGACCGTAATTTGAATCGGCACGGAATTTTTATTATTCTTAATCTTTTTCGAAGAAAATACTGGGAGGGGTCATTGTTAATGTTAATTAACTGATGGGGATGAATTAGTTTATGATGCGTGATGGGGCCCTTCGGAGTCACGTTCAGCCACCTCGAGAATTTGAAATGCCTCGGCACGACTTGGAATTGGGAAAACGCCTTGTCGTCGCTGCCGGCTGGTTTGGGCTGCTGATTGTTATGCATTGTCGTTTCACGGTTTGCACTGCCTGGAAAATAAAAACGACAAAATTAACCCGTGTCTTCCTATTCCACTGTTTCTAAATGTCAATAATAATATAAAGTATAGCGAAAATTAATCTTTTAGTATTTATAATTTTGACTTAATTATAATTCAGTCTTTAAAATTTTAACTCGATTGTAAATCAATCCCTATGAAGCATCATGAGACTTTGAGTTAAGATAGAACTTTCTCTTGGATTTGTGCTTTCATCTCATTGACACCATGGACGACACTAGACAATGGAAATCACCTCCGGATAGGCCATCGGACGTCAGAAATGATGATAGGAAAAAGAAGAAGAAGGTTGGAGATCCACCCCTAGCAATAATGGACGACTATATGGATGAAAAGGATGCTGAAATGATTGATACAAAGACATCCCCAGCACCTAAGACTTCAAAGCAAAGCTCTAGGAGTAAAAACACAAGCAAACCACCATCTTATAAAGAGTCCTCAATGGGCTTTAATGGTGTAGCAAATAGTGCTTATTTCATCCTTAGAGACGAGGATGAGCTAATGGATAAAGAGGAAATCAAATGGAAGATACTTGGGCTATCAGAAGAGATTAAGGAGCTACAAAATGTTTACCCAAAGGTTCCTATATCACAAGAGGAATTTAATGAATGATGTTTACCGTAGAACTACTCCCTAATCATTACCATCCTAGGCATGTAGCTCAATATATATAAGTTGAAGCTATATCTGGAACACTTGTGTCATAGTTTGATCCAGTCGACCTCCCAAATAACAACTTCATGATAAAGTTCATGAACAATGAAAACTAGCAGGTAAATTATAATAAGGTGTTATATGAAGGCACATGGATGGTGAAACAACATTATATCTTAGTGCAAAAGTGGTCCCCATACTTTGACCCATTATGCAACCCTTTTAGACGGATAGCAACATGGGTTCGTATTCTATATGCGTCGATGCACTATTACAACAGTTGATTCATTTCCAGACTAGGTGACAGAATCGAGAGGACACTCAAGGTAGATTTACATACTATAGCAAATTTCACAACTAGAGAAGTAAAGGTTGAGTGATAGAGATTTGCTCAGGTGTGTGTAGAGCTTGACTTGCAGAAAAAACTTGTGCTGAGAATTATAGCAGCAAGGAAATTGTTTGATGTGCAATATGAGGGTTTGAATGTTATTTGCTTGGAATATGGTCGATACAGCCACCGTCGAGAATAATATCCATAAAAGAAAAGCTCTAGCTCTGAATTTATGAGTAGGTGCACTGGTAAAGAGGAGATCCATAGATAGATTCAAGTGCCAAAAAAGTTGACACCGATAAGAAAGAACCATTTGGTGGCTAGCTGCTACTACCTTAGTTAATCCAAGCTTGCGTCTCGAGATAGGGTGAGTAAAGGCGAAGCATAAAGTTATGCAAAAAGGTAGAAAAGGAGTCAGAAAAGAGATGTCACAACTATCAACCTTAAGGTTTGAGGTACTTGCTATCATGGAAGAAGAAGAGGGATCAGGAAAGGAAATCAACACTTGCGAAATGGGGGCTATTATAAACCTGGAAAATGACAAAGGGGAGTTGGTGGTATATCAAGAGAGGAAAGCTTTGACTTTTAAAGCTGACAAAAAAGGGATCCTCAAGATTTGATACGTATGCAAAGCCAAAAAGTAAAATGGTGTATAAGACTAAAGGAAAGGAGAACGTTAAGCCTGAAATCAACTTAGTGTAAAATAAGGCCCAAAATATGGATGAGCACAAGGGGGTCCATCATAACGAGCTAAACAGCTTGAGCTAACAGAATAAAGCACACAATAAAAGGGGACAAAGACTTCATGTTGTTGTTAGTAGTCGTATTGACCAAGTGAGCTTAAATAAGCCCAATATGGAGAAGTATGGACAATATTAAGGATAGATGCATAGCCTATCATTCAACCACTCATGAATGAAGCAACCAGTGATACAAACCCAAGGGCTAACTTGCCCATTATGGAAAATGTAATGCTTGGTGATGATGAACCACCTGACTCGTCTTGTCAAAGATTTAAAGTGGAAGAGGATGAAAGGGAAGTTGGTTCAAACATGTAGCCGAATGATTCAAAGATAGCCTTTACTTTAGTCATAGGCGACACAATGTCAAGGTGAGTCTTTCCCTTTCCGATGTTGCATTGATAATCATGATTATATGATCTTAGAATTGTAGGGGAGCCAGTGGCCGAGCTTTCCCTATTTTCATGAAAGATATTATTGGAAAGAATCAAATTAATATCCTCTACCTTTATGAAACCCGCACGAGTGGGAGTCAAGTTGATAAAGTTTTTCTCGAGTTGGGTTTTAGTAATTGGATTTATGTTAAAGCTACAAGGTTTGCTGGGGGTATTTAGCTCTCATGGAATGATTCTAATTTCCTAATGGACTATCTTTCCTCGACCACTTAACTCCTTCATTGTAAATTTCTAGACCGATATACAAACAAATTCTTCTTCTCCACATTTGTCTATGGAGAAACTACCTACAAGAAACACAGCTTTTTGCGGGAATCTCCAAGGCTAATTGCTAATGAGACAAATGATGCCTGGTTAGTATTAGGTGATTTTGATTCTTTCCTCTCCCCTGCTGAAAAGAATGGAGGATCAACATCTTTATTTTTATCTACGCAATACTTTTCTGATTGTATCAATAATACTATGCTATTAAAAATGGGAGACCCTATTAGTCATTTGACTTGGAGTAAAATGGGGGAAAAGGAATAAATTATTTGGGTTTTTTACAATAGCTATTGGCTTGAGTCCTTTCCTGCTACTTCAACGACTCATGATCTTTGCTATAAGTCTAACCACAAAGTGATTATTGTAAATTGTACTCATGATTTCCCTTATGGATGTCCCTTTAGACAAAAATATTTCTCTTATCAAGCTGCTTGGGTGCTGGAAAATGGGTTTAAAGAGATCGTTAAAGAGACTTGGCATAAGAGGAACGGGTTGGAGGAAGTCCCTGTGTTTCAAACCAATGCTCTTGAATGGAATGAGAAATTAGTGGGTAACATTCCTTGGTAAAAATGTGGTATCATTAGACGACTGGAAGGCATTGAAAAGAATAAGGAAAAATATTCAAATAATAAGCTTGGAAGATTGGAGAAACAACACTGGGATTAATATTATAAGCTTGATGTGCAGGAAGAAATGATCTAGTTTCAAAAATCAAGATATAAATAGCTCAAATGGGGGGATAAGAATACACGATTTTTTCATGTATCGGCTAAAATAAAAAAGAGATGCCAATATGTGACATCATTTTAAAATGATGATTGGACATGGACTCTATATTGTTGAAAAGCATGGCTAGTGATTTCTTTAAAAATCTCTACACTAAGGATCAAGACATTGTCCAAAGTCAAGCTTGGCCTACAACTTTCCTAGGTTTATCTAAATTAGAAATTTGGTGGATACAGAAGGATGTAAATGACATTGAGATTAAAAACTCTGCTTTTTCAATGGATGCATTTAAAACCTTGGGCTCGGATAGTTTGCAGCACACTTCTTTCAATCACAATGGGATCTGGTAGGTGGTCACATATGTTCTTTAGTTAAGGAAGCCTTCCTTAATTTGATGAGTTTAACTAAACTAATATTGTACTTATCCTAAAAATTGAGAACCCAACTTTGCTCAAAGACATGTGCCCTATCTCTCTTCGTAATGTGAGCTTCAAGACTATTGCTAAGCTACTAGCAAGTCACTTCCAACTTTTCATGAATAAACTAGTTAGAGCACAATAATGTAGTTTCATCCCAGGTCGTACTAGTTGTGATAACATCATTGTTGCTTAAGAAGCTATTCACTCCATGCGAACTAAGTCAACTCAAAAAGGTTTTATCATAGTGAAGGTTGATATGGAAAAAGCATATGATAGGTTGGATTGGGGCTTTCTTGAACAAACTCTTGCTGGTTGGGGCTTAATAGGCAATTCATTTAGATTATAATGGCATGCATCAATATGGCTTCAATGGGTGTACTTTAGAATGGGGAATATAGCCCGACCTCTCACCTGTAAGGGGAGTTCACCAAGGTGATCCACTGAGCCTATATCTCCTTGCCTTATGTATGGAAAGACCAAGCCAACTTATCAAGAGTGAGCATGACCAAGATAAATGGAAACTATTCAAATTTAAGATGGCGGGATCGAGTGTTTGTCACTTATTTTTCATGAATGATTTTCTCCTCTTTAATGAAGCCTCAAGTGATCAAATTAAAGAAATGAGATAAGTTATCAATTTTGTTCCTTATTAGGTCGCAAAATTAATCTTTCCAAATCTAAGGCTTTCTTCTCCAAGAATGTACACCTTAATAGGCAACTAGATTTAAGTCTAAGGCTAGGCATTGGCATAATTGCTAATTTAAGAAAATACTTAGGAATACCTATCATCCATATTAGAGTCACTAAGGCCACTTTTAACCCTATTGTCCACAGGGTAAAGAAGAGGCTATCTTCTTGGAAAGATAAATTTCTAAACAAAGCGAGTAGGATTGTGCACATCAAAGCTGTTTTATCCTCTCTACCAGCTTACCGAATGCAATTAGCACTTCTCCTTAAAGGGGTTCTTGAGGAATTATAGCAAATAAGTAAGCAATTTTTTTAAAGTCAAGATGAGGAGGTTTATAAAATGCACTTGATAGCTTGGGAGACCATTTCACAAAATAAAGCCTTAGGTGGGCTACGAATTAAAAATCTCAGCCATCAAAATAAAGCTTTCATTATGAAATCGTGT